AGGAGCGTCTCTCTCTCTCTCTCTCTCCTCACTATCTCTCTTTTGCTTTTTTTTAAAAAAAACACCCCATCTCTTTTCTCTCCCCCGCTCCCCCCCCCCCGCCCCCCCCCGCTCCCCCCCCCCCCCCCCGCAAAATGCAGTCAGCAAAAATCTGCAGACAACACACCCAATGCTCTGTTCACTGCACCTGGATTGCGTCATAGGTTTAGACACTGCAGAGCATCTGCAACCGTACAACTAACTCCATGCGTTCATCTCACCAGGTACAGGTTAGAGGAGGGTAGGAGGGGTGTGTGTGTGGGGGGGGGGGGGGGGGGCATTCACACTGTTTGGAGCATGGCTGAGGTTCAAAGACAACCCCCCCCCCCCATAAAGATGCACTCCTAAAAGCAACTTTGCAAAGAGCCCACCGTCTCAACAACAACAACAAGATTCCATTTATAAAGCGCCTTTCACGTCGGGAGGACGTCCCAAGGCGCTGCACAGTTGGGTCATGACCCGAGCAGGGGGGAAATGGTCAGGGTGAGGGGAGGGAAGGGAGGGAGGAGGAGGGGGAAATGGTCAGGGTGAGGGGAGGGAAGGGAGGGAGCGAGGAGGGGGGAAATGGTCAGGGTGAGGGGAGGGAAGGGAGGGAGCGAGGAGGGGGAAGAGAGTCGAGAGGGGAGCTGAAGGCACGGTCAAAGAGAAAGGTTTTGAGACCGGCCTTGAAGGAGGAAAGGGAGGAAGGAAGGCGAAGGCACTGGGGGATAGAGTTCCAGAGCCTCAAGTCGAGAGAGAAATGTTTTTTTGGGGCGGTTTGTCCAAATGGCAGGCAGCAGCCACCGGATGTGGATCCCGTGTCTGGTTGTCCGCTGGGCGGTGGGGATGGCACACACCGAGAACCGATAGCGGCGTTTCCGTCACGTGTAACGTAAGAGGCGGTGTCCGCCGCCGCTCCACTGCACGGGGGGAATGGGGATGGGATTGGGCAAAGAATCAGCACAGAGGAGGGTGAGAATACAATAGAAAACAATATACATTTATATAGTGCCTTTCGTGTAGCAAGGACGTCTCAAAAAGCGCGAATGAGATTGAGGTACTCTGGAAATCCATCACCACTAACTCACCCGCACAGTCCCAAATGTACAATTCTGGCAAGAGTGGGCTAAGGTAAAACCAGACGTGCTGAAGCAATGTAAAATCATCCAAAACAATCGCCAATGTCATAACTACCGACAGAGAACAGCCACTCTTCCCCAAATTCTAAACGCACAAAACTCACCAGGGCGTCAATATCGTCACCGTGGGAGAAAGGGAACCCACACAGAACAAAAGAATATTATCAGAGGAACACACGGGCAACCTGTGGGTACTGCCATAGCAACACGTTGCCAGCCGCGCAAGGCAGACACTGTCCAGGCACAGGGTTACGGGTGAGTCGGTGTTGATGGATCATGAGGAATCTCATGCTCACTGCCTTCCGTGTTGTGATTCGTTTGTCTCCCCACCCCTTCATCCCCCCCCACCCACACCCTGTGCAGTGCAAGAGGCAAACCCCATCTTCTGCATGATAATCTATTCACGAAACACCGCAGTCACTCCACGTTAGTTGGCCTATCCTGCAAAGCACCTTGAGACGTCCCCCCAATTCCAAATGGAAGGATTATTATTACCAGCATTATCCATTGGACCTATTGAAATAACAAAACATTTGTTTCTTGGGGTGCCAGGTCCAGCTGGTTGGTTTCATGTTCTATGAGATCATTGGCATCTTTATCTTAATGTTCTTCTGAATGGCACCAGCGTGCTTCATAGCCCCCTCCCTACCCGTCCCACTATCGGCATTTGGGCTTTCATCTGAGGCCTAGATGTGGGGAGGGGGATGTGAAGCAGGCTGGTGCCTATAAGAAGGACATTAAAATACGGCTTTCATCCCCACTCCATCCTTTGACTCATTCCTTCCTTAGCCTCCTTCAAGGTCTGCCTCAAGACCTTCCCTTGGTCCCCATCCCCAGCTTGGGTGCAAACACTGGACTGTCCAGCGCCTTGCAATGTCCTCCCACCATGTAAATTGTATTGTATTTACAAATTTGTATTTATATCCACCGCCACTCCTCTCACCTGTACCTCAACGGTTCTGTCCTTGCCTGGTTTCAATCCTATCTTTCCCACTAGCAGCACTTCATCTCCACCAACAGCTTTTCCTTTAGCCCCGGCACCATCACGAGTGGTGACCCTCAAGGCTCTGTCCTCGGTCACCTCCTCTTCAATCTGTACATGCTGCCGCTCGGTGGTGTCATCCGCAGGCATGGTGTCAATTTCCACATGTATGCGGATCACACCCAACTCTATCTCGTCTCCTCCACCCTCGACTCCAGGACCGTTGATGCATTGGCAAATTCCTGGATGAGAGCCAACTTCTTCCAGCTCAATCTTGACAAGACAGAGGCATTCCTTCTTTGCTCCCGGCATAGCCTCAGCCACTGACTATTCATCACTACTCATGGTGGGGCCATCACTATTCATGGCTGCACTCTTCACCTCGCCAAGCCAGTACAAAACCTCTGTGTCCTTTTCGACCTTCAGCTATCCTTCAAACCCCACATTTGTGCCGTGACCCATTCTGCCTTTCACCAACTCTGCAACATTGGCTGCTTCCGCCATTGCCTCTCACTGCAAGCTGAGACTCTGATCCACGCTTTCATCATGTCCCGGCTTGAGTACCCCAACTTCCCAACTCTTCCCTCCACAAGCTGCAGATTATTCAAAACCCTGTAGCTCGTGTCCTGTACCGCTTCAGGCTCCATGAACCAATCACCCCTGTTCTTGCCCGTCTTCACTGGCTCCCCATCCTGCAAAGAATCAAGTTCAAAAACCCTTGTTCTCACCTTCAAAGCCCTCTTTGGTCTTGCTCCCCCCTACCTCTCCGACCTCCTAACCCTATATTAGCCTGTCCACTCACTCCGCTCAGCAGAGACCGGCCTCCTTCAAGGTACCCCGCACTTCCTCCCCCACCATTGGCGGTCGGACATTCAGCATCTCTGCCCCCACATTCTGGAACTTTTTTCCCGCAATCCCTACGCCTCACCCCCTCTTTTGCCTCCTTCAAGTCCCATCTAAATATCTTCCTCTTCGACTGTGCCTTTGGCCACCCTCCATTGAAGAGTTAAGAAAGAGATTGTTGGTCATTCAATAAAATTACCCAAAGCATATCAATAGCAAAGCATGGTGTAAATATTTAAACTCACACTGGGAGATATTATCTTAAAGAGTTAAACATCAAACAGGGTTACATTAAGTCTGTCAGTGATAACAAATAACGGTGGCAAACTGCAACATGTATGATTAATTAGCTGATTTACCTTAAAAGCCTCAGGGAAACACATGTTAAAACTTGTGTGATTAGTATCACCACGGATGTGAGGAATATTAGATGAAATATCTAATCATAACTCCAAAGAAAATGTCTAGTTTGAAACAAATGCCTATGTCATAGTGTAACAGGTGGATCTTGGCCATGCTGAAAAACAAAGAATACAGACCTGAGCAAGAGAATGAGAGGCAAAATGTTCTCAACCCCACCTTACACTAACCATTACTGAACTGAGCAGAAGGTATCATAACTGGCAGCTCCTGACAGGAAAACTGATACCCGGGCACCCTCTGGGTCTCAGAGACAACTCTCTTAAGGCAGATGACCTTTCAGTGCTCACTTCAGATAGACCGCAGGACAGTTGGCTAAAATAAAAATGTTTCCATTGACACACAGACCAACAGGTACATTACAGTCAGGACAAAATCACATTATAAGAACAGATACACAAATTCACTCCACTTAGGGATAAGAGGACATAGGGTGAGAATGCCTCTCAAAGGCAGCAACTGTATTGTTCTATTAGCTTTGCACTTCATTGACACTTTCTGTAACAATGTATTTAGCCCATTGCTTGAAAAGATATTTAACAAGGTAATTTTCGGTTAAACGTCTGCGGGTTTGAATCACACATTATTTATCACGGCAATAAAACCACTGAACCAAGACTCTCCATTAATGTTTTTAAAATATGTGGCACAATTGAGTTTGCGTAAAGAATCCCTTCATGCCCTGGCAATTCCCTACCTCTCCAACCTGCTTACCTCCCAACCAACAAACAGCTGCCTCTGCTGGACTGGCTTCCACATTCTGCAGGTCCCCTGTGCCCTCCTTTCCATCATTGGTGGCCACGCTTTCAGCCACTGCACTCCGAACCTCTGGAACACTCTCCTCTTTCCTTTCGCCTATCCCCTTCTTTCCCTGTCTTCAGGTTGCGCCTGAAGACCATCCTATTCGACCGTGCCTGTGGTCACCTCCCCCTATCCCCAGATCGGTGTCGTGCTACTCCACTGTCAAGCACTCCGGAACGCTACCCTGAGTGAGGGGTGCTGTATAAATGCAAGTTGTTATTATTGAATAAACTGTGCATTATTGATACCTGTAAAATGAATCCACCGGTCGCCATGACTTAAATTTGTAAAAAAAAAGTTTCATCCTATCTGCTCAGTACTAACCTGTCAATTATTGAATTTTCCACTGTGATAGCTTTAGGATACATTGATGACTTCCCATTATACCACAGCCAGCAGCCATGTTGGGCTGGCAGTCTACTCAATCTTAATTCTCGACAGGAAATGAGCAGTGATGTAACAAGTTGAAGGTGAACAACACATCATCACTGTAGGATGCGGTACTGACTGCTGGCCTGGCGCATTTGGTCTGCGAGTGTACAGTCACTGCATTTGGCATGAATTACCTGTGAAGCAATTATAAGTGTCATGGACTGATTGGTGGTTAATCTCTTCAAAGACTTAAAAATATTGTATTTTTTCATTAGTCCTGGTTTTGAGTGCGTTCAGCTTGTGAGTGAGAGAGGCGAGCCAGGGGTGGGTGGGCGGGTGAGTATAGGGGGTAGGAGAGAGGAGGGGATTTCTACTTTATCGTCTCTCAGGTATGGAATAAAAACATAAATAAATACAATGACTGGTGAAAGTCTAAAGCACATTTATTTCCAACTTGTTTGTTTCCTATACAAAATCAGTAAGCTCCTAATTGGTGATACAGAACAGTGAGGTACAGCAGAAATCCTCTGGTTTGACTACATACCCTCTCATGCAAAGAGAAATCGTACATCTCAATCACCAGAGTTCGAAATTAACTTTAGACTGCTTGATGAGTCTGTTAGTCACTCTTAAAAATGCATTAGCAAGTTTGAGCTATTGACGGTAACAGCACGGATCCTGATTTTTATTTAAGCTTTTTTTTTAAAACGTTTGTCACAGTGCTCCCACGTAAGCAAATTACTGAACGATGTGAAAAATTATGCAGTTCCAAAACTGATTCACTGGATTTACTATTATGGGTGAGTTCCCGAGGCCCAGAGGACAATTTCTCATCCCCCAACTCAGCATTTCTTTTTTTTTAAAAAAAGAATTTGCAAATAGATGTTAATTTCGAACACTGTATAAAAATAGCTTCTCGCACACAATAAGCTGTTATTTCAGGAGCACACCGTGATATTCAAAGTGAGTTGTTGAGATGTTGAAGCTGGTCAGAAATAGATCACTAAAACGCTCACAGGCAGTGAGTATGCAGCTTTATGAATCTGCAGCAGAACAGTGAAGAAAACTGTCAAAGTCAATACCATGCACTCCATTGGCTAAATATCACTTCATACACAATACAAGTTGAGCTGCATTGCAACAATCTAGAAGCCTGTGGCATCTGCAACAAGTTAAAGTATATTTACAAAATACAACATAATATCTACAAATAACGAAAAAGCTTAAACTTGATGCAAGTTATGAAGAATAGCAGAACAAAAAATTAAAAATAATTATCCTCAAAACATTTCAACCTTACGGTTGTAACTCTGATTTTTTTCGTCTGTCAGTTTAGAGACTGTCACTATGCAAAGGTTTCAGAGATCAGTCCAAATTATAGCTTTGCTCGTTTCATTCCAAAAAATTGAAAAGTGGCCACTCCTGAAAATTTCCCTCCCACCCCCAACCCTTTTAAAAATTTGGATCTTAAAAGACTGAAAATAATAGCATTACAAATTGCAGCAGCTAGATTAAGTGTCATACATGGTGCTGTGTGTTAAAACGCTTGTGGTTTGTCAATAGATTAATTTACAAAAGGTGTGTAAGGCCTTAAAAGGTTTGTGTGCTCATACTCATACTGTTGGTGTGCGATTTTGCCTAATAGTGCGTTTAAGGAGAACGCCCTGTTCTTCAGCAAGACGCATTTCTTTATTAATAACTAATTAAAATATTACTTCTTTGTTTTGAAAGACGGGGAACTACAAAGTACTCTACAAACAGGGGCTCGGTTGGCAGACCATCTCCAGTCACTGGAAGCCTTCACTGCAATTGGATACAACCAGCACCTTGTTGTCTTGCAAAAAAAGACATGAATGGCAGCTATACATCCAAAAAGTTGATTACCATCTTCACAACAATGTCCAAGACATTGATGGTCTATATAATACCAAGAGAACACTGACGACAAAACATTTCATTTTCAGTTACTGTACTGTGCACTTTATAAACAGATATAATACAGACCACTGTCATCACAGCATACACGGATCTATCTCAGGTGCAGTGAGATTCATGTTCTTCTCATGCACTAGGTTAGCTCAAACCAATAGGAGACAAAAATGAACCCAACATATCACAGAACTACCGAAGTGCCAACTTCAACTCTATATACAGAAGAAAACAATTTATGTTCAAATTAGTTACAATAATTCACAATCTCTCTCTCGCTTTAGTTGCACACTTGAAAACCCACATTTTTCACTGTTTTGTATACACTCAGGACATTTAGGCACTACCTTTCCATCATGTGTTTTGTTTAAAAACGTGCACGTAATGACAAGTCTGGAGATAAGTGTAAATAGATAACTCTGCATGATTGATGGTACACGTAGTTGTCTTAAGAATGTCAAGTTCCATTGTTTAGACAAAGGAGTTCATGGCATTGACGGGAGATGGAGCCTCTGAGCTTTCGTTCCCTTCTACTGCTTCTTTCTCCTTCTTTCCACTGTACTGTCCAATAAAAGAGCCATCCTCATTGAACTGTCCTTCCCCACCTTCACCGTAGTCAACTAAACTATCATCACTCTCTCCTTTCTTCACTGTGCCATCTGAGGACGTCCTGCTGCCTTTGAGTGGTTTATGGTCCTCTGTGTCGCTGGAAAGAAAGGCAGCATTTAATACGGCATATCTTTTAAAGACGTAACACAATGAACAAATATCTCTGGAGGTAATATATACAGTAATGCGTTACCATCAGATGTATGCATAACCAAAACTTGACTCGTTGCATTAACTAGGATAACCAGGCTAATAAGGTATACTTCACTTCATCCCAGGAGGTCAGTTGTGAAGGGATGTAAGGGGGGGTTGGGGGAGTTGCCACACAACACCTGAAGTGTAAGATTTTACACTCTGCCGAAGTCGTTGTCAGAGGGACTGCACCTCCAATTCAAAACGTTTCATGTTTGAAAAGAAACAGGGAAATTAAAGTGACCAGTGGATGGAGCCATTCCATGTCAATCAAAGAAAGGATGGTAGGTGCACTCATCACAAAGGAACACCTTTTGGAATATCCTTTTCCAGCTCGGTGCAAACACCCATGCAATTAGCATTGCTTCCTGGCCACTTTTCATTCCAATGATTCTCAGATTCCTGAAAGATTTCAACATGTGCATTTTAGTACTTTATGGTCTCTCAGAACCACTAATAACCTCAACTACCAGTCAATGGAGAAATGGAAACATCACAATAAGTCAGTCAGCCAGTAAATATGAGGATGTAGTTTAGATGTTTGTGCTGGAAAAGGATAATATTAATTGAATATTAGTCAGGTGGGTTCAGGGATCAGGCAGTGCGGTAAACTGGGAGCACAGAAGAAATGGAAGATGCTCTGAAATGAAACATTCTGGATCAAGTTCATTCTTGTTACATAAAATGATAAGCAAATCCAGTAGAATTTCAAGTCATTTTGTGTTAGTGGAGTGCATGCCAGGGGTTCGGTCACCGTCTTACCTTTCTAGAGACCTACATTTTCCATTAAAGAATGCAGAGGAAACAAATGAAAATAGTCTGAGAAGAAACAGCAAAGTCTGCTCGCTGTCACGTGGGCATTTCTCTGACATTCGACACACTCGATAATTTAGTCTTTTTTTGTTTAATACGAGAGTGCTATTAGATTAATAGCAAGACACCATAAGCCTGTAATAATAATAACAGTAATAATCTTTGCATTTGATATAGTGCCTTATCACGTCTCAAAGCGCTTCAAAGAATGTAAGGTGAATTGGTTATATTTTGTGGGTGAAACGCGGCAGCCAATTGCGCACAACAGTGCCCCACAAACAGTCATGGATTAAGTGAACAATTTTTTTTTGAAGAGATTATTACCCCTGGAAAAGCAATCCACCAATCAACTAAAACTGGGTTCCTACTTACTGCTAGATAAACAGAGGCATGTGGAGTAGGCAAACTTGCCTAAGGTTTCACCCTGCCCAGTAATCGAACCCAGGCCCTCTTGCTTGTCAGGCGAGTGCTCTAATCAGACTAAGCCACAGGACTCCACTGTAGCAGTGAAAGGGAAAAGAAATCAGAGCATCCCAAGCTCCTAACATGCAGACAACATGGCCTTCATTAGAATCATAGACATTTACAGCACAGAAGGAGTCTATTTGGCCCATCGAGTCTGCACTGGCTCTCAGAACAAGAAAAAAATGATGAAAGCTGTGCTGTTGTCAGATCTGTACCAGCAAGAAATGAGAGGCTGGAATTGTTTTTAAAAAAGGGCAAAACACAACTAATAATCATAGAATAAGAAAAATGCGCAAAACAATATTCAGACAAAAAAAAACAAGATTCATGGTTATTAAATGACGACAGTTTCCTCAAATCAATCTTTCCTTCAAGAGAGTTCTCTATTACGGTCTATTAAAGTCTTGAATACTAATTCCCTGCTCTGGATAGAAACATTGATTAAAACGCCATCTAAAGTCCGTGAGCAACTCACTAAAAGGAAATTCTTGGAACAGAGGAACTCATTACAGAGGGCATAATGAATTCCATGGTAATGATCATCAAGCTTGAAAAATCAGCATGTAGATCTCTATCCCAGATTTCTCATGTGTTTATCAGTGTTTTATTCTGTAGGTCCACGACTGACAACACCAGGACTGCGATAACCAACAAGTTGCGCAACTATAATGCAACAATATTACTGACGTTTAACTTGATTTTGCTCCATTTGTCTTGTGTATTGCATGTCTTACTGTGCTGATGAACATAGTCACACATTCATGACATGGCTGTGGCTGAGTTTGTCCAAAGGGGAGCGTGTATGGGGGATGTTTTTTCGCAAGGAGTAACAGAAAATAAAGATGTACAAAAGAAATTGAGAATGTCATAATTCTAAACAGGAGAAGCTTAAAATGCACAGCAGGTCAATCAGCATCTGCAAAGTCAAAGGTAGGTAAACTCGGCATGTGAATCTTCATCAGAACGCATATCAGGGTTAACCCCCCCACCAGCAGAAGAACCAAGAATCTCTCTGTTTCTTTCAGACACAGGCCCTTGTGCATTTGTAACAGGAATAGTGTTGTGCAAGTGTGCTGAGCAACAGGTTGAGAGAAAACAACAAAGACTGCAAATATGTCAGACAAAGGCAGAAACAATGTAGGCATCTCCCTTCCCTCACGAAACTTACCCCACTATCATTTACAACACGGGAATTACACAATTACGTGCCAGTGTTATTTCACATGTAATACGTTTCACTAGAAGGTACGTAATATTCTGTAATATGGTCAAACTGCGTCATACCTCACGCTGCACCTCTCTTCCCGACACACTCCCCCACTGACTCCAAAGGGTTGTATTGACTGTATTTGCAAAGGATTCTTTTTGAGAGGTAACACTAAAAAAACACCTAGTTAATAGACACAGACACTTGTGTCCCATTATAGGGTGATAGGGTTATTTACTGAGCCACGCATCTGACATGATAATCTGCAATCAATCCCAACAGAAAAGCCTGTTACAATATAGATTTTTTTATATACAAATCATTATTCATAATAAAAAAGGCACATTAATAATAGACACGATGATCAGTTCCTGCAGCAATCTTGTACAATCTTCTTCTAATCAGCTTTCCTCATTTCCTCAGCAGCATGTGACTGAGACCGTTATTTGAATCTAGTTAGCTTGGAGCTGGCTGCACAGTAAATTGCTGGTAACAAGGTTAGCAATCCAACTGGGTCCAGACAACTTTTGCTACAGGATTTTTCATGTGAATGTTTATTAACAGCTCCAGAGATGTAAAGATCGATTTCTAGATTTTGACATCGTGCTCTGTATTGCAATACACAATTTAAGTTAAGCTAATTAGTTCCGAATGGAAAAAACAAACGCGGGCAAGGACAGAGCTAATGCAGTACAACAGAGCATGAAAATGTGAATGAAAAGAGCATTTAAAAGTGGGAAAAAAGTGCCAAATTATGGTTTGGATTCTCAGCACCACACAAGTGACATTGTCACCTGGCCCAACAGTTAATTGATTCCGTCAGGGCATTCCTGAAGTTGGAGATGCTTCTTTTAAAAAATAGAAAGGGTCTAATTTATTTTCTTCCCACTGCCACACGTCTCTGTTCCTGGTCTTGCCTTAGGCACTGGTTGCCCTCAAGTCCTCCTTCCAAGTTACCATTGTCGGCAGGTCACTCAAGTCTAGAGGGCCACGCTGCCGAATCTGACCTCTCTCTTCACTTGTGTATAACCTGCAGAGGGTGCTGAGAAGGGGCTAGCAGCAGTAAAACTGGATGATTTGAACTCCCCTTAACCTGGAAACATGGGGCCAATTTATCCTACCCATGCAACCCCAGCTGAGTCAAGCAAACTCAGTGCAGATCTTGGTTTGAACCAACAAGTTCCTGGTCTGTAAGCTGCAGTTCCATCCGCTGCACCACTGGGTTATCCCCAAATTCTTTGATTTTTATGTCTTCATTTCACACTCCAGCGAGAGTTGTGTTGTCAAGTGCAATATGGATGGAATCAATCCGGTGTGGGTGTGCTATCCTTTACCAGCTTGTGTTTACTTCACTGAGTCGGTTTTATTTCAGTGAGCACGTCCTCTAAAGTTCGCTTATTTGCAGTGCTCACAAACAATTTTGTTCCACACTCATTTGCAACACCGTACGGACATTCTCCTCTGCTCATTTGCTGATACCAATTTCCCTGATGCTGAAGTGGGCCGCATGCTCTGTGGCCTATGGCACTCCACATTTGACAAGATTTTGTGTGTGAACTCAGCAGCCAATGTTCACACAGAAATGTCCCACAAACAGTCATGGACTGAACACCAATTTTATTTGGGGAGTTATTGGTCAGGACACTGGGAGAAACTCCCTTCTCTTTTCGAATTGTGATGTGGGATTTTTAACATCCACATGAAATGAATAAACAGGGCCTCGACTTAACTCTCTCTCATCTGACCGTTTTCTCAAATGAATAAAATAAGAGGTACCACTGCTCCCCCACTTTTGTGAAGATAACAATTGAGGAACGGCCATACCAAACCACTCATTGAAAGGAAAATTCTTCCTGGGTCCACAAAAGAAAGATGTCAAGATCAAATAGCGCCTGAGGTTCCCTGCTCACCTGGTTCTGATTGATGATGTGCAATATTTAAATTTTAAAATACGTGCAGAGAAGAAGTCTGGGTTAGCACAGTTTTGATGGTCTTCTTTCTCACTGCAGCACAATGTAATGTTTAGATAGCGCAAGGGCACTGGAAGCAATCTGCTCCAAGAGGTTTCTTCCCCCTATCCCCCCGCACCCCACTCTTTTATTCAAAGGGGTGGAGTTGGTCACAAAAGTAAAGAAATTCCTTGAATGTTGTTCAAATGCTCATCTCATTTGCTGCAGCAAGACTGACACAGGATGAATTTTGCTGGAGGTTGCACCATAATATGGGATTTAATTTGTGAGTCCTGCCAAGAAAGAATGTTTCTTTAAGATCAATCAAACGTTTAAAGATTTCGGCAAGAAACGTTAAAAAATGAAGGTGTATCCAAGGGTAGAAATGGAATGGAAACCAATAGAACTGTCCTCTTGAGGCTAAATTGCAAGTAGTGCTCAGCTGTCTGGAACCGGTGCATCCACTTGATACTGCACAAAACACGCCAATTTGAGGCAGCTTATCCTCGATTCAAATCAGGCCCTAGGGGGCACACTTACAGCAATCAGATCCAATTATTAGGCCTCACATGCGTTCAGGGTAAGCTGATTGACTGCTTTATTGTGCATCACATGCACCTCTCATGGGGCTGCAGTCATTGGGGCAATAGGTGAAGAGGTTCAGTGTTAGTTGCAAAGGAAATTTTAACTTTGCATGTAATAGAGCAGATGATATTGTTTCCTACACACCACAACACAAAATACTGTGTCTATTCCTAGGCAGCACCAGTTTCCATTGATGTGTAAAATCAGTTTCATTGACCTTTATATGCCACTGGTATAACTTTTATGCAGTACTTTAACTTTCATTGTAACTTTTGCATTCTTCACAGACTCCCATTAAAGCTGTTCAGCTTCATTGGTTCATAATGCAATCACAGCAGTTGAACAGTTGGGTCCCCAGAGATGCTGCCTCATTAAACAAAATTAAAAAGACCAACTTTGATTGCAACTCCGATGCTCACAAAAACAAGAGTGTGTGGAAGCAGGCAAATGGCAGGACACAGGGCGAAGAATTCTACCTCAATAAATAGGTCAGCGACTGGGATGCCGGGGGAAGAGAGAGTTATAATCCCCCAGAATTTTCACGAGAAGATTCCTTACTCAGTAGACCCCAGATTTCAGACTTCCTCTCCAAATGATAGGGTTTAACAGTACCCAGAAGTGTGGAAAGATCAAAAATAAACTGCTTTAGTTGCAGAGTTTCCACACCGATATCAGCGATCTGAGTCCAAAATTAAACCCATTCAGTATATGGCTTGTTCGCCAAATGGATATTTTTTTTTATCGTTCAAAACCATGGAACACAAGTTCATCTTGTTTCAGACAAACTGCAATTCATTAGAGCACAACACACCGGCAACATGACAGAAAGAGGAATTTTCTACACAGAGGAAAGCCATTCAGCCCTTCGAATGTCTCCTGCAGTGTTTTTCTACTTAATCTAATTTTTTTACAATTCATCTCTTCATATCCCTCATTTTTTAAAACTTTTCACCTACTTCTCCAATTCCCATTTCGAACGATTCTACTGTGGAATTAAATTACAAGAATCTAAGAATTCTAAGAATCTTCATGTGTGGAAACTCCTTCTAACCTCTCGCCCTTTTCAACGTATATATGACATTGATCTAACTAATTTGCAACGTCCTCCCATGTATACCACATACACACACCTGTACACCAAGAAGCTATTTCACATCAAACATCATTTACAACCTGCAGGATGTGAGCAGTTGATTGATAATACAATACTGGGATTAGGACTGGGCGGGGTGGGGGTGGGGGGTTTGGGATCAGTGAGATTGGAAGGTAGAGATGGTAGGAGGGTGGCCGAAGGCACGGTCGAAGAGGAGGGTCTTGAGGAGTGCTTTGAAGGAGGCAAGGGAGGGAGCGAGGCGAAGGGAATGTGGAATGGAGTTCCAGAAAGTGAGGGGCAGAGAGGCTGAAGGCCCGACTGCCGATGGTGGGGCAGGCCAGGCGGGGGACATGGAGCAGGCCGAGAGGATAAGGCGGACAGGTTGATAAGCAGTTAGCAGCTTGGAGAGGTAGGAGTGGGCAAGGCCACGAATTTTGAACTCGATCCTCTGAGGGATGAGGAGCTAGTGGAGCCGGGCGAGGGTGGGATTGATGGGGTCACGGAGCCTGATGTGGAAGAGGACATGAGCTGTAGAGTTCTGGATGATCTGTAGGTTGTGGAGGGAAGAGTTGGGAAGGCCGACAAGCAGGGTGTTGGCATAGTCGAGCCTGGTTGTAATGAAGGCATGTATGAGGGTTTTGGTGGCTTGAGGGGTATGGCAATGGCGGAGTCGGGCAATGTTGCGGAGGTGGGCAAAGGTAAAGCGGGTCATGGCACGGATGTGGGAAAGAAAGGATGGTTGATGGTTGAACAAGACGCCTAGGTTCCTGACTGACTTGGTGAGGTGGAGTGTGCATCTTTGGATGCTGATGCTGCCATAGCCTGAGATACGGAGGCGCTGTGGCAAGCCAATCAGGAGAGCCTCGATCTTGCTGACATTCAATTGTAGAAAGTTGGTTCTCATCCAGGACTTGATATCTGACAGACATTCTGTCAGGACATCAGTGCTCCTGGAGTCGAGGGTGGAGGTAGAGAGATAGAGTTGGTTGTCATCCGCATATGCACATGTGAAAGTTGATCCCATGTCTACGGATGATGTCACCAAGAGGGAGCATGTACAGGTTGAAGAGGAGGACTGAGGATAGGGCCCAGTGGATAAGCACACGAGACGGTGCGGAGGCTGGAGGAGAAGCCAATTGTGGAGACAAATTGGAGTCTATGTGAGAGATAGGATCTGAAACATTCAAGGACAGAACCTTGAAAGTTAAGGTGAGAGGAGAGGCGGTAGAGGAAGATAGAGGGATCCACAGTGTCAAAGACAGCAGAGAGATCGAGGAGACACAGATGGACAGAATATCATTTGTCACCTGACAAATGGACTGCGGGCAACACGGAAACCTGATTGAAGGTATTCGTAAAGGGAGTGGCAGGAGAGAAAGGAATGAAGATGGGCAGCAATAACTCTTTCAAGGACCTTGGAAAGGAAAGGGAGGTTGGAGATGGGGCGGTAGTTAGTGAGCCGGGATGGGTCCAGGGAAGGTTTTTTTTTAGGACAGGGGTAATAAGAGCTGAATTTAGGAGGGCGAGAACTGTGCCAGTTGACAGGAATAGGTTGATGAGGTCTGAGAGTAAAGGGGAGAGAAGGTGGAGCTGTGAGGTAAGGAGAGGAGTAGGTATGGGGTCAAGGGAGCAGGTGGGCTTCATGCGGGTTATAGTGTTGGTGAGAGAGGCGGGGGAGACAGGTTCGAAGTTGTGGAGGGTGTGGCGGTTGGGAGGGCAGAGACAGCTGAACAGATTCCCTCGATGAAACCCAACATCTCCTCGCAGTTGGAGTTGGAGGAGGGAAGACAAATTGCCATGTAGATTTTGAACTGTACTGAATATTAAACAGTAGGGCAGCTTTAACTGCATCAGCAATTTTAACCAATGGTTCTTGTGAGGTTTGTGAGGCATGGATCTGTTTTTTGTACAAAGCAATGTTTAGAGTTAACTGTGGAAGGACAAAAGTTATGATTTTGTCTCAAATTGCTTTGTTAAAATACGGAGCCACAGTCAAGAGGACAGGGAATTCATAGCTGAACAAGGCCTGCAAACGGGAGTGCAGCCCGGTTGCTGTCTACAGCCAGGCAACATTGAGACACAGACAATAGGCTGCACGACAAGTCCTCACCTGTATTCACCAAAAGCTCCATCATCCTCTTTCATCGGCTGAATCTCTGGGTCTGCGTGCGCATCCTCCTTCTCCTTCACTGCACATGGGAAAAATATATTTTTTAAATAAATTAGACATTGTGTTTCTCCCCCCCATCCCCACCCACTCCAGAACAATACCAGTTTTCATACAAACGTCAAATTATAAAACTTAATTGATACCCAACAGGAGCAGAAATCATTTTTTTTACTAAATTGATCTCAGTTTTAGACTTTGGGCAAACAAGAGGCATCTGAAATATTTTTGCTGATCCTTTTCTGGTGTTGTTTTGTTCACTAAACCTTTGTTGCAGGGATTCTGGTGGTTCTATAAGAGGAATCTTAGTCACTTAACAGAATGCAGAAGAGCCTGAACGCAGATGACATTTGCTGTGAGCGTTTAAAGTGTGTGCAAATCAAGGTGATATCTCAGTGTGCGTTCAGGGATGAGATGCTGTCATGGGGACACTGTGCAGGTGATTCGCATGGGCGCACTGTGCACTAGAATAACACTGGGACTGCGTTAGGATTGTGCAGGGGCGCCCTCCCACCACAATGGGGCTGGATTGCTGTGTATTGTATTGTGTATTTTGTGTTGTGTGGCAATGTCTTGTGTTTAAGTGGAAGAAGCTCAACATGTAATATAACAGCATTCCCAAACAGCGAATCCAAATACGCATGAGGTGTACAAAGGGGAGCTCGCCATGTAACACAAGGGCGCCCTGACTAGTTGTGCACAATGCATGTATACATGTTTGTGGTACATGAGAGGTGCTCAGTTGTACCTAAACAATGACCCGACAATGTGTGCAAATATGATGTGATTCATGTCTGACTGTGTCTCCCCCATAAAGGGGGGAACGGCTGAGAGAGGAATTATGGCTCACCATTCTATAGACAAAGGGTGGCAGAGAGGGGTTTAACCCCACCGTGTAACTACGTTCTGTATATAAAGGGCAGCCGAACCTACAGGTAGGGGGTACACCTTGGCACCTCCACCTGGGGGGAATGTGGAAAGGTGCCGTCCCACTACAAGAAGGAGGTCAGGTATATATTACATTGGTTATTGTGTGTGTAGCGTTTTTCTTTTCTGTAACAGGAATTTTTGGTGCGCGTGTAAATGTATTCTTTACTGTATCAATTTTTAAAAAAAACATGGGACACTGTGCAGGAGATTAGCAGGATGTTAGCCATGGGGACAATGTGAACTGTTTTAGCATGGGGACACTGTGCAGGAGGTTAGCATGGGGACACTGTGCAGGAGGTTAGCATGGGGACACTGTGCAGGAGGTTAGCATGGGGACACTGTGCAGGAGGTTAGCATTGGGACACTGTGCAGGAGGTTAGCATTGGGACACTGTGCAGGTTAGCATTGGGACACTGTGCAGGAGGTTAGCATTGGGACACTGTGCAGAAGGTTAGCATTGGGACACTGTGCAGGAGGTTAGCATTGGGACACTGTGCAGGAGGTTAGCATTGGGACACTGTGCAGGAGGTTAGCATTGGGACACTGTACAGAAGGTTAGCATTGGGACACTGTGCAGGAGGTTAGCATTGGGACACTGTGCAGGAGGTTAGCATGGGGACACTGTGCAGGAGGTTAGCAGAAAGTTAGCACAGGGACAGTGTGCAATGTATTAGCACAGTGGACAGTGTGCAGGGGTACATTGTGCATTTACCTGGATATTTTCCTCCTTTATTCCTTTTGATGAAGCAGACGATCAACAGGATCAGGATTAAAAGGGCGATGGCGCACATTAAACCAATGAACCATCCCTGGGTGGCAATATCGACCTGCCGGCTAGCCATTGCTGTTGCGTTGTTGATCAGAAAAAGAAAATAGCTCAAGTTAAAACGTGGCTTGAAGTTACCACTGCCTGAAGGAGCTACTGAACCAATCTCAGAAATCCTTTCTGTCTTAAATCAAAGATTAAATCCTGTTAACTGTATAGTTATAATGATTTTAAAATGTTGTGCTTAATTAACGTTAACAAAAGGACCATAAAAATTATCTACAAAAGATCCAAGCTTACATTTTTCCTGTGCTAGAAAAAACTGAAATGGTGAACCTGTTTCACAGATTAGACCACATTTTAACAGTGAACACTTTGTAATTTTCAGCAGTTGTAACTCAGGAAAACTGTACAAAGGCTTTGACGACAGCAACTGTTTTTCCAAAGTGTTCATGTCGAATTATCAAACCAATCAGATTTTATGTAAAATCTTTCATTAATTGCAGTTTTGATGCCTGAGTTTATGATCACAGTAGGGTTGGCAATAATGTCACTGCAGGGTAGAAATTCCACCTGGATCGAGATGTCATCTATTTTTGGTGTTAGCCCGGCTCAGATGGTGTCAGCCTGGCTCGCAGACGAGGCAGATACTCCAGTACAGTACTGGGGGTGCACAGCATTGCCCTTGGTGTTGTTCCATTTCCCTGTTCATTGGGTGAAAGATCCCAAAGCACTATTTGAAAAGAGAAGGGAATTTTTCCTGGGAACCTTGCCAAATAAAACTGGTCATTCACTTCATGGCTGATCATGGGACAATGCTGTGCACAAATTGTCTGCGGCGTTCACACACAAATACACACTTTACAGATTACAGTAAATCCACTTTGAGTTGTTACCCTGACATGAAAGCTGCTGTAACAAATGCAAGGATTATTATTAATGTACCATTTCACAGCATCCAGAATTTATCAAATGATAAAATATAGTCTTTAATTTTGAAGCTTTTTTCCTGGAAGTTTCTTGTAAGAACTACAGAAAACGGGCTTCAATGTTAAAACAGTATTGAACAATTTGCCAAATTCTGTAGCTTCTGAAACAGCACCACATTAATAGAGTAAATCTGGATCCAGGTGGAATTTCTACCCATACAATTAGCCTTTATTTGGGAAGGGAAAATCACCTCAGGTTAACACTCCTCATTGCTATCCACAGACCCCCCCACTGGAGATATGCAGTTGTGGGACCTCAAGTGAGTTAAAGAAGGATAGCATCAGAGAAACCATGAAACTGAACACAGCGGAAGAAAAATAAGAGTCAAATGCCTTCATGAGATGAAAGGGAAAATGCTGCTGAACTATTGGCGGGGCAAATAAATAAAGGGAGAGGAAGACATGAACCTTTCAATTGCAAGGAAATCTAAAGACATGAATGCAAAATGCCGACAGGGAGGATATTTGGTAATGAGATCAAGGGAAGATGTGACATCCTCGACCAGAAATAAAAAGTAATGGAAAGTCATCAAAAACTCAAGAGAAAGTATTCAACACTATTTGAAGGTGGGAATGGGAGGAGGAACGAGAGGAACAGTTGCTGAAATATTCTGTTGACATGCACTTGAAGTAAAATTGAAACAGCCGCCAGATTATAACTACAGAACATCCAAATCCTGCAGCACGTTTATAAGAAGCAAAGCAAGAAATGCCATTTCCTCGCAGCAAATAATTGCCTTTTAATGTGCTCCACAAACTGAGCACTTGCATATGCTGAAGTCAAAGGTGAGTTGACAATTGGAAACATTGACTGTTGTTACCATTCATAAAAAAAAGCACAAACCACCAGCAGCAACTCGTCCACTGTGCTGCCTTTAACGTACAACCTGGAACACTCACACACACACATTCTGCAAGAGCTCATGCAATGCCGCCACAAGGACAATACAAGACCTGAATTGCAATGTGTATAACAAAGGTACTGTCATAATCAGAATTTCTACCCTTTCTCTGGCCACACCCTTCATCCTCAAGAACCAAATACTTGAATATTCAGTAGTTTTATATAAAACAAAACACGTCAGTCCAATAAATGTATAAGCTGGTGCCTGGATGACTGGTAATCATCAAGCAACAGATGGAATCAAACCTGAAATGGCTGTTCACAAGATTTTAGCACATCCAATTCATATGAACATGTGGAATGAAAGCCAGTGAAAGGGTGTGAAGCACAGTATTCTTTTTGTTTCTATGGCTCAATTTTTGGAATTTGCTTCCATCTCCATTTCCTTTTCCCATCCTGGAACACACCACACTGCCCGAGGTGGTTTCTTGAGGTGAGTGCCCAGTTCCTGGGTCCTGTCCTGTGTGAGAGTAACATGTATCACACTGTTATGTTCTTTAAAACATAATTTTGTCTTACAAAATTTGGGAGAGATTTTGGTTTTTGAGCTTCCAATGACAGGCTGCCTCTGCAATACGTATGACCAGCACAGACAAAGCAAAGTTTAAGGCTTGAAGGGAGCCGGGGATAGGGCAGGGCAGAGATTTGTCAACTTTTTGTTCCCAATGTTTCCAAAGTTTGTTCCTTCCGACTCTCTCCCTCCTCACCGCATTAAAGATCCGTCTCAAGACTAACCCTTTGTTTGCACTTTTGATCAACTTTCCCAGCTCCACCCCCAGCTTGAGTGCCAAGCCAGCAGTGTCAAGCACTTTGGATGTTCTCCTGACGTGAAAGGTGCTGTATACATTTGTATTGTATTGCTCTGAGAGCCAGTGTAGATAAGGCGAATGGCCTCATTCTGCGCTGTAAATTTCTATACTTCTACACCAAGGGGTTGCAACCTTACTCCAGAATGTGGAGGATCTTCAGAGTGATGGATTTGAAAGAAAAGTCAGTGTTACAAGCACAGAGGGGAGGCAAAGAGTCAAATTGTGGTCCGGAATTTCCTTCAACCTCTGGAGGCGGAGTCAGTCACTTTGAATATGCTTTTAAATAGCCACAGAATGTTGCACAACTTTCACTGTTCAGTTGTTTGGATTTGTTTTTGAGAGTTCTGAGTCTCAGCCAAAATGTTAAAAAGGATACTGCCTTCACAATGTGGTCACAATCACAGCCACTATTTACCCATTAAATGCATAAGAACTGCATCAACATCACTGGTTACCAAGACAAATTGATAACACATGAATTGATTCAAAATACTGTGTATGGGTCAACAGATAAAGGCAAAATATTATTGTACAGCTATTAAGATTGAAGTGCACAGCGAGGGAGTCAGGTACAGAGTGCGACACAGAGGGAGAGAGCGAGGTACAGAGGGAGAGAGTGAGGTTCAGAGGGAGAGAGTGAGGTACAGAGGGAGAGAGTGAACTACGGAAGGATTGAGGTACAAAGGGAGAGTGAGGTACAGAATGAAGGGGTGAGGTGCAGAGGGAGAGTGAGGTACAGAGAGAGTGAGGCACAAAGTGAGAGAGTGAAACACTGCATTTGCTCTCCAGACATGACCTGCTGAGGAACCCCAATGTCACACATAGATCTCCACAAAGCAACCACCAGCTCCACTGGAAGACACACAGGGACTTTCAATCTGACCTTACAACTAAGCCAACAATTGGGAGCACCTGTATGTCAGAGAAAGCAAACCAATGTCGAAGATGGAAATAAAACTGGAACCTGCTCTCTGTGATTCCAAAGCCATGCCATCTTGCAATGTTATATAACGGGACGTCGCAAAGGGGACAATAATGCAAGTGCTCCTCAAGACAAAGGTAGATGTTTGTAAGCAGAGGCTTGACCGTTAACGCGTTCTCTCGCCAGCACACACAAGTTTCGGAGCAATTGATATTCATCACACAGCCACTCTGCAAAAAGGTCTCCCGGCTTGTCAGAATGTGCGAGGCAGGGCTCATAACTGTACTGCTGGCTGCCTCACCTGGTGGGTCTGTCTCAAACCGCACATCGCTGCTTCGAAACTGGTCAGAATGACTCTCAGCAACAACCCGAGCTTTGTAAACAGTTCCAGGCAACAAGCCTTTCAGCACAAAGAAGGACTGAGTGCCATTTATCAACTTTCTTTCCAAAGGCCCTTTACCTAAAAGAAGTGCATGGAGACAATGAACTCAAATAATCTTGGCCGTACATTCAATAAAAGACTGTAAATCATATTAAATGATACATTGTTACAAGTGTACATGAGCAGGATGGGTACATGATTAGCCCTTGGAGTACGAGAATGAGAATGAGCTTTCTTTTGACATTGCTGTGCACAATTGCCTGTTGCATTCTCCCACAAAACACACAGACCCTGCATTTTACAGCATATCCTGTGAAGTGCTTTGGGACGTCCCTCCTGACGTGAAAGGCGCTGCACCAAACGTTGGAATCACTTTTTTTAAAAAACAAGATGAAGATCATCATCAGAGCTCCCCCCCTGCCCAATTTATTCTTTCGAGCAGCAGAAAGGGTTAATCAGTCTTGAGGCCGAATCTGAATTGTTTGCTTTCTTTTTGCAATTGTGACGGCAAGTCAGCAAGCGATCTGTGGATCACACGTTAGGGGTGAGGTCTCCGAGCGCTGACCTCTTCAGGTAACAATGAATGACCACACAGCACTTGACATCCAACAGAGAGCGAGACCAAACATGCTCTGTCAAAACACAGGCCCTCTCAATTCCTGCTCAGCAATGTGTCCTTTGCCACAAAACGCACTCATGTATCAAGAACTCAGTCCAGTTAGGTTCCTGTTTCCAAACTATGTGCACGTTTGTCCAGAGATTATATGGAAAATATGTTACAGGGCTCCAATTTGCTCCACATAATGGCATGCATAGATTGCTGGGTAAAGTGCCAACGGTTTGCGTTGATCAACAATCATGATGTTTCTCTCTGTGGGCTGAGGATCTGAGTTGAAGGACATCGGCCTGTGTGTGTATTCTTACAAGGCTTTTAGGGTACTCCTGACGGAACACACAATGGATACATATTTCGCATCAAAGAGAGACTCATTCCTCCCATTCTAACCTTCTTCTTCCTGACCATCTCACCATCAGTCGCTGAACCTTCCTGCATCTGCGCTCTGGAATGTCATCCCAGAGACTCTCCAACTTGCTTGCTCCCTCCCCTCTTTCAAGGCACCTGGAAAAACACACCTCTGACCATACTTTCGATCATCTTTCACCTCCTCACTGCTCTTCCCCCACCCCTAGCCCAGGTGCCCATCAGGCACTACGAAGAACTTTGGCACGTCCTCCCGACGCTGTGTAACTGAAAGTTAAATTCTATTGAAAATTGTCCTGTAAAATCCCTTTGCCTTGTGTCTTCTCTCTCTGGCTTCAAAACCCGTTTTAAAAATTCTCTTGGCCAACACGCTCTAACATCCCCCTACCTTTCCTTTAAAGACTCAGCAAGCTTTTTCTGACTGTAATCTTATTGTTTTTCATTAGTTACAATCTAGAAAGCATGCCCAAAATCTGAACGTAATCCCCACTCGCTCGACTGAAGAGAACAAGAAATCATCTTTGAAATAATGGTGTACACAAAGGCATCCTTTTCAGATGGGATTCACTGGAAAAATCTATGGTTAAACAACAACAAAATTACATTTGTGTAGCGCCTTTTATGTTGGGAGGACGTCCCAAGGTGCTGGACAGACAGAGTTACGGACCCGAGCTGAGGGTCGGGGTGGGGGAGTGGGGAGGGCAGGGGAGAAGCAGGGAGATCGAAAGCACGTTCAAAGAGGAGGGTCTTGAGGTGGGTCTTGAAGGTGGCAAGAGAGGGGGTGAGACGGAGGGACTGTAGGATGGAGTTCCAGAGGGTGGGTGCAGAGTGGCGGAAGGCCCACCCACCCCACCCGTGGGGTGAGCAAGGCTGGGGACGTGAAGCAGGCTGAGTGGAGGGAGCGAACAGGGTTGTAGGGGATTAGATGGTTGGAGAGGTAGGGGGGAGCAAGATCATGGAGGGCTTTGAAGGTGAAGACCAGGATCTTGAACTGTATCCTCTGTGTAATGGGAAGCCAGTGGAGTTGGGCGAGGATGGGGGTGAAAGGGGTAGCGGAGCCTAGTGCGGGAGAGGTCACGGGCTGCAGAGTTCTGGATGATCTGCAGCCTGTGGAGGGAGGCGTTGGAGAGGCCGACAAGCAGTGAGTTTGCATAGTCGAACCTCGATGTAATGAAGGCACGTATGAGATTTTCGGCAGCCTGCAGTGTGAGTCAGTGGTGGAGCCGGGCGACGTTGCGGAGGTGGGAGAAGGCAGAGTGGGTCATGGCGCAGATCTGGGGTAGAAAGTGTAGTTGAGGGTCAAACAAGACCTCAAGATTCCAGACTGGTTTAGTAAGGTGGAGTGTGCAACCATGAATGGTGATGCTGTCAGTGCCTGAGGTGAGGAGGCGCTGACAGGAGCCAATCAGAAGAGCCTCAGTCTTGTTGACGTTCAAATGAAGAAAGTTAGCTCTCATCCAGGACTTGATGTCTGACCATTCTGGTCATAGGTGGACAGAATGTCATTTGTCACTTTGACCACGGCAGTTTCTGTGTTGTGGGCGGCACGGAAGCCCAATTGGAGGGTTCAAGAAGGGAATGGTGGGAGAGGAAGGAGCGAAGTTGAAAAGCAACAACTAGTTCCAGGACCTTGGAGAGGTACGGGAGGTTAGAGATGGGTTGGTAGTTAGGGAGTAGAGCAGGGTGCAGGGAGGGTTTTTTTTAAAGATAGGAATGATGACAGCGGATTTTAAAGGGGTGAGAATAGTACCAGAGGACTGGGAGAGATCAACAATGTCAGTGAGTAGAGGGGCAAGGAGGTGGAGCTGGAAGGCAAGGAGGGGGTTAGGGATGGGGTCGTGGGAATAGGTGGTGGCTTTCATATGGGTTATGGTGGTGATGAGAGAAAAGGGGGAGACGGGTTCAAAGGTGTGAAGGAAGGCGTGGGTAGGGGCTGGGGTAGGAGGAGGAGATGGGGAGGGGGTAGCAGTTGCAGAGGCAGCCGAGCGGATACCCTCGACTTTGGATTCGTGGAAGTCCAAGATCGCTTCGCAGTTGGCATTTGAGGTGAGGATGGTTGAGGCATAAGAGGGTGGGCAGAGTAGTCGGTTTGTGATGGAGAAGAGGAGCCTGGGGTTGTCCTTAGCCTCCAAGATTGTCTTGGAGGATTTAGCGGAGGCAAGGGCGGAGCGGTAGGATTTGACATGGTCCAGCCAAATCTGCCGGTGGACAGTTAGGTTTGATTTAAGCCAGGTGTGCTCAGCAGAACGAGCCTGCTTTAAGGAAGCAGAGGTATATAAACATATTCAGTACCAACACAACAGAACAAATTGGAGCCCGAATCTGTTTTCGATTGATTTTACTTTCAATTTGCTGCAATCCGATAAGCCTGAATGAATAGAAATTACAAGGTTGATGCGGAATGTGCTGGTGTGTAACCTGGGCTGTAGATATGAGTGGAAAGTCTCACTGAGGCAAAAACAAGCAATTGCTTGAAGGGAAGAAGAGTCTGGGGCAGTATTTTCTGTTGAAAGTAATTCCTCCAGCAAGCTTGAAAACTTTGTGGATATCACCGCGATATTTGGTCCCCATCTGCTCCCCTGCTGGGCTGCTCTTGTCACCTCACTGATTGGCAGTACGCCCTGGAGCAGATCCTTCAGCCAGAGCCACCCAGACAGGTCCCAGTACAGATAGCACCAGCTGGGATATAGCAACATCCAACCATGGGTTACCAGCAACCTCTGAGCAGGTCCCAAGATGCTGCTTCGTCAGGAAGGAATGGAGTCACTTTGCTCCTCCCAGCAGTCAGGTCACTAGGGCTGCCCAGGAAAGGAGCAGGGAGATCCCAACAACCCTGGAGGCTGGAGGGAATTCCAGCAACAGGAAAGTGATCGCACTTTCTAACATGATGAGAGGGTGTACTTTGAAGGGAAAGTACTTTCCTTGGACTCTCCTTCCCCTGACCAGGAATTTGTGCCTCAAAGTGGTGAAGCAAATAGGAGTGAACACAAGCAAAAGCACTAATACATTCTCGGTTTTTCACCGTCACAAAAATTATGGCTTCAATGGGGTGGCCTGCAAAGTGCTGAACAGATTTAGCAGGTTCCACACTTAGAAAGGATGCAGAGTTACTGTGTCATCTCATTAAGCGATTGTGCTCACGACTGTTATGAATCTAAAATCAAAAGTGCTGAAAAGTCAGAATCCACCTGCTGTGGAAACCAGCAAATAAAGGGTTGCTACAATGCAAGGATTGGACTTGATGCCAACAAGCCAAAATCCAAAGTCACAGGAGCTTAAGTTCTGTTGTGACGATGCTGACAGCTTCCTGCACAATGAGATATGAACGAGCGCATTAAATGCCCCTCAGTTCACTTTCTGAACGTTCGTAATTGATTTAAAGCTCACTCAGTAAGTGATGCAATGTGGTATTTGTTCAAGGGGTGCCTGCTCCTGTCCCTGGACTTAACTACTCAAATCCCAGTTCCCTATTCATTCCAGTACCTTCAGCATTCCAGGTGTATTATAACACGCTTTGTAGTGTAAATTGGTTTTCCCATGGTTGCACTGTGGACTGCATTCACTGTGTACGTGTGTGCGCTGGCTGGCTTTCATGTTAAAATAACCAACTTCCAGGTCTCCAGATGGCACTGACATAATTTCTTGTTTTGTTGCAGACAGGAAGTGAAAAATGCAGAGGTGACCTGGAAATCGGCCATTTTATTTTCATCGTGGGCATGAGCCAGGAAGCAGGAAATAGGCCAGTTTGGCTACGTGCGTACACAGTGAAACCAGCAATTGCACCTCATCAAAGAACAGGTTGTGATTTTATAGATCTCAAGCACTGTATATTCTTTCTCTACAGACGTTAATCCAATTTCTTTTTGAAATGTTATGGTCTCTGCTTCAATAGGGACTTGTGGCAAAGCATTGCATGATCCAAAAAGGCGAGGAGTTTCCCCCAACTCAAATTGGTCATGAAGTGAATGTCCAATTTGACCTGCGGGATTGCTGATTGTCCTGGTCAACAATCCCCCAGCTCAAATTGGTCATTCACTTCATGGCTGTGTGTGAGATATTGCTTTGCTCAAGTTAGCTCAAGCAATGATTAGACAAACTCAGGCGCTTTAGCCTTGAGAGAAGACAACTCAGAGGGGACCTGATAGGGATGTGCAAATTTTTGAATGGATCTGAAAGAGTAAACCCAGATCAATGCTTTTGATTGCAACAAAGCAATAGAACAAGTGGACATAGGTTTAGAGATGTAAGGAGTAATTTCAGGGCAGATATAAGAAAGTTTTTTCTTTACTCAGAAGGTAGTCAACATCAGGAATAGCTTGTCAGGAAAGGTGGTTGAGGCCAGGACACTAGATTCATTTAAAAAGCAGCTTGATGCTGTGAGGGCGGGAACAGTAGGGTATTCTGGAAGGATATAATCAGAAGGGCCTATCTTGTAATTGGCTGCAATGTTTCCTTACAAATTTAATCCCTATATCTGACAGCAATTTTCTATGAAGTGCTTTGAGATGTTTCATTGTGATAGATGCCATTTTCAAATGCAAGGATTATCATTTCTCCAGCCCCCAAGCCCCCAGCCTTTCAGTTCCCCAGCCAGCTGTGCTAAGCACTCTAAATGTAAATTGCATTGTATTGTATCATCATTGGATAAGGAATCTCATTCATTCTGGTGGTCTAATTTTATGAGATGACACAGTAACTGATTGGAGAAAATGAACCAAATGACATTTCTGAATTTAATGGAACTGTCTGGATGTAACAAATGTAGAATCCAATGAAAGAGTCTCTTACTGTCAGCTAGCTCATATTCAACATAAAAGTGCACATCCATCTGGTCAAACTCCCAACTGATATTTGCATAGGTCCCAGACTTGGTAACATTCCTAATTACTGGACGAGGAACCAGGACTAAATGAGCAACAGAAGAAAAAATAGATGGGTGAAAATCAGTTATCAGTGCAAGCAGATACCACACTTTACAGACCTGAAATACGTCAGTACATGAATAAATGCACAGCCAAGTAACAATTTGAGGAAAATACTCATTCTCTGACCAGCTATTGCTGGTGTGGACATTTTACACTGTTCACTATAACTGTATCAAATGATACACTGATCACTTCCTGGTTGAGGTGTTCACTGAGTGTATTAAACTGTACACTGATTTCTCACCGGTTGAATCGTATCAAAGTTGATGAACATAACAGCTCTGTTCATAGCAGAAGTTGGAGTCGAATTATGTTTACTTATTGTCGAGGCATTGCTTTACTACTCCATATCCCACCAGTATTCCCAGGGGTCCAAGAACCAACCAAATAACAATGGTTATTATTTAGGGAAAGACGGACGGCAGCGTAAGATGTTGCTCAGACTGAAAAAAGTGCCTGGCGACAAAAGTCCATCTCCAGCTGGGAAACCTACATACCTCACCCCAGCTCACGAGAACTCAGCACTAAGGCCAGCTCCGGTCAAGGTCTCGTGAGTGTGGCCTGAGGCAGATTGGTGCTGCACTTTCCAAACCAAGCCCTTTGTCCAGAGGAAAATGCACTGATTACCTTACATTTTCCCTCTGAAGTGTTTATCCAAACCCCCACCCCTCTTGCTTCTGGCACTGTTCTGCCTGAGATAAAGTACCATCAAGCGTGCTTTGTGACAACTTCAAGAGAAATTCCCTGTTGAGCGTATTTTCTGAGCAATCAAATCAATTATTAGACAATGCAAAGAAATTAGAGGAACCAGCTACGAAGTTGTAACAAGATCAACATGCACAGCCTTGGGATTATTCTGCTCCGCACACTCAAAAAAGCACCAAATTAATGGACGAGGGCTTGGGTCCACTTCTGCCCTCACCCACCAATGTCAGTAAATATGCCGCTGTGTGCTTACGATAACCATAACGCAATCTTACATCTCCAGCTAATTTTACATTCATAACGTAATGTTATTTGCTGTTTAAAGAAAAGGCCCTGTAGTTATTTGTGAACACACAGGGAGTAAGTTTAGCAGGATAGCGATCAGCCCACATCAGCACCTGGCTCTGCACCGCACCTTTGAGATTTTAGTGGTGCAGATAATTTGTTTGCTGTTCACCACCACAGTTCCCGTCGATGAAAGTTCATATGTTAAAATTTAACAACATTCAAAATAATAGCCATCACTGAAAATCACAAAGCAAAATGTTCAATATTTGCAGATCCCTAGAAAGGACATTAAAGCTCTTTACTCCCCAAAGTTTTTTTTTGATGGAAACAACCCTTTCAGCTCACTCCTGATCATTCGGTCCTCACGGATCCTAGCAACTCAAGCAAAGTGCAGAACAGCCAGAGGCTTCATGTCCTCAATCTCACTTCAGGAAATCCATGACTGTCCCTGCTGCAAAACATTCACTTCCCAACATTGCTGCTTCACTTTCTCGGTCACTTCTTACTTTTTAAAGGCTCTCACGTGATGGATTAGTTGTCTTGTATTTATACTGATGTAAATGTCCCTGGGGTACAAATTCGTTCTTCCCAGTGTTTGTGAATGTTTGTGTATGTGGGTGTGCTGAGTGAGTGTGTGTGTGCCTTTCGCGTTCAAGTGCGCTTGTGAAGGCAAGCATGAATGTATGTCTCTGTACACACCTGCCTGCCTGTGTGTTTCTGTACACGTCTTGGCTGTCTTTAATCATAAAGCAGAGTACTTTGAATGCCTTAAGGGATGGGCAAATATAGACAGCTGGAAGTTGTCCTTGCAACTGGCATGTCATCTTCAGTGATGGAACTATTCAAATAGACTGTATTATTCTGAACATGCAAAAGCAAGACGACGTACACATGACAATTACAAAAATTGTCATGTCAAAAAGGTCAGAGTGACCTCGCCATTTCTCTGGGTGTTAGGGATGAGCACAAGTCTGGGCCAGAAAATCTATATAATTCCAATCAGAACCTGCCATTGCCATGGTATTTTTCACACGCAGAAATGTTTGCCTTTTTTTTTAAACTCCATTCTCCCCAGTTCCAGGAGCTGTGCTCCTTGTCGAGACTGTCAGCTGAGAAAGCATCAAGTCTGTTTTTTGTTGAGATTTGCTGACATTGCTCACAAAGTGCCACAAGGAACATCCCTGTGTGGTGAGTGGACAATATAGACTATCCCTCAACACCTCTGGTGCCTTCCCTTCTGGTGCAGCCACTTCAAATCTAGCCAAATCTTCAAACCCTGACTGCTCATCTCTGACACTGCTCCTCACACACTGACCAGCTTGCGAGTCACACCGCTTACTGATCACTAACACCAGTGACCTTTCAGCTCAAATGCGGCTGAAATGATTGGCTGATATGACCAAAGGCCCTTTGAGTAACACGGAGCGAAATTTTAACTTATTTTTTTCATCAGCTGGTTATAAATAGGTATTGTCACCATGGAAAAGATCACAAGTGTTAGTGAGCAGGGAGTGAGAGATCTCCGAATGTATTTTATGGTGCAGAGGTGAGCACATTGAAGTGATATTCACAAGAAAGACAATACCCTTCACTGTTTTATCAACAGGGACTACCGTATCTGTTTTCGCTAAAGGGCGTGTGGCGAATTCTCCTACAGATAGCAGAGAAAGGAAGAAAGAGAAGAGTTGAAGTAGAAAGAAAGGTCAAGGTAATACAGATAATGAGCTATTTCGAAACAGACACAGTAAACATTAATAGGCAGAAGGGAAGAGGCAAGCCAATCAGAGGCACAAGAGCTATATCTCAGTGCAGAAATCTCCCCCCGCCATGTTCAGAGTCCCAGATTGACTGCAGTGGAAGAGATATCCAACAGAGAAAGGCATATCGTCACAGGGAAGGCCAGGAATCTCAGGGACCCAACCCAACCCGCTCCGAGTTGCCATTCCAAAGCTCTCAGAAGTCAGACTCATGCTGAGAGTCAGCTTCACACCCAATCCTCCCAGCGGTGTTCTTATGCGACTTTAAGACCCACCCGCTGCCCTAAAGAAAGGGGAATGGGTTTACAGAGTCTCACCATCTGAGACATTCTTGTTTAAGCAAACACAAAAAAAGAGAAGCAGAAGCAACACCGGCGTTAGTCAAACCCATCGACAAAACCGTGCACAAAAAACAAACTATTGAAATCGGAGACCATTCTGGCTTATTGTCAGGTTTAGTGTAATGAAGACAGAGGTCCAGATTGACGCTGGTTAACACTGAGCACCGTCGGCCAGTGTGGTTGAATACAAACCGTTGCCTAATTTTTCACAGACACGTTTGTTATCGGTGAAAACTGGAGAAATAAAGAGAGGAGCACCCAGAAAGGAAAGCTCTGCCACCCCGATCATTGCACCCCCACCAGCAGTGAACCATCGCCTGCCCACACCGCAAACAGCCAGAAGCTGATGAAACCATGCAGATTTGGTGTTAGTTACTGTTACTGTACCTCTCCCCAGCCCTGGTGCGGGAAACGCTGTTAATAAAGAACATTTTTTTTTGAAAAAGTAGGAAGGGAACAGAAAACAAAACACTGCAGTTAGGAACACACTGAGAGTAGACTAGACTTATGAACAACTACATCTTTCATTTATACATCGTGGAGTAGTGTCTCAGAATACAAAGAAATCACAACATATTAGAACTTGCTCAACTTGCCAAGTTCAACTTTGAAACATAATTTTGTTACGTACGAACAGATTAATCGTAATAGTACCAAGAGTTACCAGAAACCAATGAACAAAACCAATAAACGTTGCAGCATCAGCTTATGGACGTGCGCTTCATTTTACAAGTTACAATTTAACAAGAAGCACTTTCTCTGAGGTCCTTTGCACTAAGTACTTTTGGTAAAGAGAAACTGAAAAGAGAATTGAGAATTGCCTTCAATCCACCTGACTTGCATTCTCACTGCATCCCATTCACATCACCTGTCAGTGAAACTGCCCTCTGCTGTGGTGGACCAAGTTACGCTAAACTCAAGACCTTTTTGTTGACAGGTGCTTCAGTTTCGGTCACCACACATCCCTCATGGTGGTTACGTGGTGGTGGTGTCCTCCACAAACTCACTCTGCCCCCCCATCCCACCACCCAACTCCTAGTCTGACCCACAACTGGGAAAACACTCGGTGAAGACAATATCCAGGCTGGGGAACTGAACCTGGACTCTTGCTTGTGGCAGATCGAGCTGGCTTCTCAAAGCTGCTCGGAAAATGGAGACCTCTGTTTGAATAGAAATCTAACAGGTAAGAATGCAAATCAGCTCTCAACTAGTTTCAACTTAGAAAAACAATCACGTTCAACAGACTGAACCGTCTCTCACCACAAAAACTGCACACATTACCTTCGTCCATGACTGTGATCGCCTCCTCTGTGATTTTGCTGCCCGGACCTACAGCCGTGTATGCATTCAGATAGAATTTGTAGCGGGTGCTGTAGTTGAGGTCCTTCAAAGTCCAGCTGGTCTCGTTGTCGGCAGGGATGGTGATCTCCACCAGGGGGCCTAGCTCGTGTGTGCTGTTAACTGAAGCAAAATGGATGGACATGTCTGTGAACGAGCAGCGAGATTTCAAAGGCAGACGTGACAATTAATGGTCACTGATCAACCCGGAAAAGTTTTCGTTAGTGCAATTCGTGGAATGTGGCTTCTCACCTCTCAAAACATATCGTTCATCGCGATTTACAACTCTGTAAACCTTGGCGCTAAAGCTGTGCACACTGTGCAATGGCTCTAAAGCTGTATGCAATGGGCAATATACATTTTTAATGTTCATTTGCACTGCTGCACAGACATGGACAAACAACCTGTAAATTCTTAATCAATTAAGGCAGATGTCAACTCAAAGCACAGTCCTTTCTGAACTTTTACAAGACTTTTAACTTTTACTTTGCTTCCTGGCTCCTAATGCTGACTGCCTTACAACACAATTGTTGCATGTCAGACATATACAGTTTGAATAAGGATTCAAATGGCAGTGGTAACAGCACATCGCTTCAGAAACAAACATCAAAGCGATGGCAAGATTCTGCTGCTAAGGGAAAGGGTTAACACTCGCACTGCACCCAGCCCGAATCCAGCGGTCTAGATGGCTCTCACTGCGCTGCTAGAGTGGAATGAATGCAGATGAATTTCATGCCTCCACAACTCTTGGCAATGTAACTTTGTTATAAATGATGGGCCCATTACAATGCTGAAGCACTGTTGAGCATTCAACTGTGAAAAGGCCAACACAAGTGGAGCAAGATTTTCGCACATTAAAAAAAAAGTTCAGGCATCTCGTAAAACATTAAATACACATAAATTAAATTGATAAGATATCAACACAACTCAATTTTCTGACGTCAGAACTTCAATTCAATAAAACTTCAACTTCAATAAAAAGGTGCAAACTACCAAACTGGAAAGTGCAATTCACTTAATGTCAGCAGGTCAGAAAACACCAGCCGAAGGAAGCCAACATGCTGTGGGGAAACGTTTGAAAATCAGATCTCAGGTCACAAGAGAAAGTTTCCACTGTTCTCAACGATGCGGACACTTACTGGGTTGGTATTTCAGAATGTAGCCTTTCAGGATGCCATTGGGATGGACAGGAGGTCCCCACTGCAGGGTTAGAGAATCCAGTGTCGGGCTGGTTATCTTCAAAAATTCTGGAGAACTGGGCACTGGTGAAAAGCACATATGAACACGCATGTGAACTTTCTATCTGTCCCACTAATGGCGACTGGGCTTTCAGCTACTTGGGCCTGCTCTCTGGAATTCCCTCCCCAGGATCCTCCAAAACCCTCCCTCCCTCTCTCCCGTTTTTCAAGGTATGCCTCCAAACATACATCTTTAACCACGCTTTTGTTCATCTTTTCCTCCTCAGCTCCCAACCTCAGCTCCCACCCCCGCTCCCATCCCCAGCCAGTATTGTCAAGCACTTTCAGACGTCCTCCCAACATGAAAGGCGTTGTTTAAATGTAAATTATATTGTATTTTACTATACATGATTAGCGACAATTAGCGAAATCGGAGGCAAGATTGAAGCCTTAGCGGACCATTGGTATCTTCTCGTCATGCTGGGTTGGACTGAGGGCTGACAGGAGCATGCTCCAAACCTGCCTCACTAAGAGCCAGCGTCAATGGAAATTAACATTAAAGGACAGTTTGGATCAATAAGTACCTCCTTCAGGTGTTTGCACCACTACGTTGTCACTGGGAGGACCCACACCCTTCCCATTGAAGACCCTGACGTTGAGTTTGTAAACACTGAACGGATCCAGGCCAGGCACCATCCCGTGGTTCTTGTCTCCACTAAAGGTCAGGATCTTCACTTCGGGGTGATGTCTGCTCTGTTTGATCAGGCTTCGCTCTTTCCAATAGTAGATCTGTGTAACAAAACACACAGCGTTAAGCGTTTCAAAAAAAGCACCGACTGTCAGAAGCAATTCAGTCGCTGAGAGACAGCATTTTATTCACTTACTTTATACCCCTTCAGAAATCCAAGAACACTTTCTGGTGGAACTGGATTCCAATGGACCTTGGCCAGAGTGCTGTTAACAACATGCTGCCGCACTGAAGTAGGGGCCAGCAATGGTACTGTAAAGAGAAACACACAACTGTCACTCATTTCACTGATCTATGGACCTGTCAGCAGGACTTGACGGGGGAGAGGGAGGAGGGAAATTCCTCTTGTTGCTGAGTAACACGGTTTTGAAGATGTGGAAAAAAAAATCTCATTGTACGTGGCATTTGTCAACGGGGTTGCATGTAGCAACCAAGCAATGTCAAGTTCAACAATCTCATTGTCCCCTCTCTTCCTATTGGTTCCCCCACATCTTGATGCCTTATGAATTCTCTCTCATGAATGCTAAGGTTAATTGATTTCTCTCTCTGGATCCAATCCGATGAGGCAGTATATCAAATGCAAGGATTTTTATTAATAATAACCCAAGATGTCAGCCTGACAGAATCAAGGAGACTCTAGTCTTTGAGAAAGAAAGTTGTGGGTTAAAGTTGTTGGGACTTTGAGCTCGCAATCTGTTGACACTCAGTGCAGTGCTGGGGAACGCTGCATTGTTGGAGGTGCCGTCGTTCAGATGAAATGCAAGATCACATCTGCCTGTTCAGCTGCATGTTAAAAATCTCATTATGTGAAAAGAGAAGCAAGTTTCTCCAGGTGTTCTAGCTTTAGTTGAATTGGTTATTTGTTTTTTTGGCTGTGTGCAAGACATTCCTGATACAAACGATTCCTACTTTTGCTATACTTGACACAAATTCTGTAAAATACAGCAAGATGCTGTCATGTCAAAGGCACTGTATGTGCGTCCTTTCTTTTTTCGGGATACCTTGCAGTGACCTCCCTCACTCCCCACATTGTAAAAAAAGTACGCAGCTCTCATTTCAGGTATCTAATCTCTGTCATGACTGTGCAACAAAGCAATGAGGTTCCAACACAATGGTGCTGATGTCAAGGACTTTCTGGTGAACAGAATATAACAGTTCAAAGCCGACCTCTTTACTGCAATCTGGGGCTATTTTGTTTTACATGAACGCAGGCGAACGCAGACTGAAACCTCCGCAGTGAACGCGTGCGCTGGTGCTTACAGTCCTCTCCAGAGTATCCAGTGACAGCCTGGGGTTCCGGGGCAGCTCCGAGCGAGTTGAACGCTTGCACCTTCAAATCATAGGGGGAAAACGTGGGGGTTCCCGAGACGATGTACTTGGAAACATTGGCGACCATGACAGAGGTCCACTCATCATCCACGTCCTTCTGTCGCCAGCTGACCTTATACGTCAGTCCTGCCCCGTTATGCTGGATGCCTTTCAGAGGCTGCACAGAGAACAACAGAGTCCATTAACCTCCTCTCAACCTCCAGTCAACTGGTGAAGTTCCAGCTCAAGCTGGATTCCATCAGTGTCCAAATAAACAAAGCTCACTTACTTCACTACAAAACACAGTGACTGCACTTTACAGCAATTCCTATGGAACACTTTGGGACGTGCTCCCAGTGTAAAAATAATAATAATTATAATGTAATAATACTTGGCATAGTGTGTTTCACATCAGGAAGACGTCCTAAAACTATTCACAGAATTTACTGTAAAGTGCAGTGACTATTTTGTGGGGTAATAAAGGCAAATAAAGGCAAATATATATCCAATATATGATTTATTTATTGTTAAGTTTTCATAACTGAAGCCTGGCAAACAGTTTGATCCACATAAACCATTCCAAGGGGCCTTTTGCTCTATTCCCACCAGAAATATTTGTCTCTCCTCAAAAACAGAGGCTCGAGGAAGGGCGGTGTGATGGCAGAGCACACTGGAGTGGACTCCACTGGCTCTCTGTACCTCACAGAAAACAGGGCAAAGGCTCTCAGTGTTTCCCAGTGAGTTACGGTTTTCTATTGAGTGTTTAGCAAAACCCAGCCGGTGTTCAGCTTATGTCAGTGGTCTTCAACCCACTAGGTGTTCAAAAAGACAAGAGGAAGGAGCGATAGAACTGATGTTGTTATTGAGTCAATAACATCACAGTTGTTGGAAATAAAAATATAACCTTTAATGTTTAAACTGTAGTAAATCTCTCTTGTCTCTTGTTTTTGTTGAGTGTGTGCGAGACACCACCTAACGGTGATCGACCGGTTGGAGACCCCTGGTTTACACCATATAAGCTGCTGGACCAATACATCACACCTACACCTTAACGTGAATCAAACTGCTCTTTGATGTGTGTGTGTACAAGGATTTCTGTTTGACACACGTCCTACAGAGAAGCGCATTTTTCAAACCAGCTCGGTGAGGGTGGTTAAACTCCTCAACCTCCCCCTTCAAGAATTGTGGAGTCCTGTAGCACAGTGGTTAGAGCACTTGCTTTGCAAGCGAGAGACCTGGATTCGATTCCTGGCAGGGTGAAACCTTGGGCAAGTTTCCTTACTCCACACGCCTGATAATAATCCCTCAAAACAAACAATAATAAATTGGTCATTTCAATCCACGACTGTTTGTGGGACTCCGCTGTCTGCAATTGGCTCCCGTATTTCGCCCACAAATATAGAGTCAATTCACTTTACAGTCTATTCTGTGAAGCGTTTTGATACGTCTAGAAGACGTAAAAAGTGCTATATCAAATGCAAGGATTATTATTATTATTATCAGACACCACAAGGAAAATGGTCAGTAAAATTAATTGCACATGTGCTTTTGAGAGAGGTATTAAACATAAGAAACCTCAATGCATCCAGACAGGCAGATTTTACCAGCACAAGATTCTGTTTGTACCTTCCAGGTAATGACGAGGTTGTTTGGGTCAGTTCCCATCCCCTGCACGTTTGATGGATTATCTTCTGGCGCTGGAATAGAAAAGGCACATTGCCTCATTGTAGTTCCTCATTGGAAGACAAACACTGCGAGCTGGGATCAAAATACTAAGAAAAAACCACGAGTTCTAACTCTAGTACAGCTGTCGGCAACGTCTCGCACCCATCACCTGAACCAGATCTACCTAAGCCATTCCAGTGACAAAGAAAACATTGTTTGCGAGAAGTGTGCAGCTACCAAAAGAGAGTCATTTCTCCCCGAGTCCAGCCCAGCAATCCACTGAAAAAAAATTCACTGCCTGTCTGCCTGTGAGACACTGCTATGTGAAAATTGGTAGCTGTGTTCACCTAGAAAAACATAGAACCTAGAGTTTACAGAAAACTTGGGGAAGCACTTCAAGATGTTCTTAATTTTTTTTTGTAACTATACCAAATGCAAGAACGTTGTCTTAACCTGCGCCTCTCTCTATTAAGTTCCATGCTCTGAACCAGATACTCAGCCACTTTATTTTCTTTGAAAAGGAGTTTATTGCTGCAGGATCAGCTCCTTTGGCTATATGTGTTTCACTAGCTGCCTGTCTGACTTGGTTGGCAGGATTCTCTGTTCTGAGACAGAAAGTTGCAGATTCAAGCCTCACAGCAGGACTTTGAACTCACAAATTCTGGGCTGACGCTGCAGTACATTGATGCAGGAGATATTCCTCCAGATAAAATTAGTTATTAATTTCATAGATGTGTACGTGACATCACTTTGCGCAAAGTGTCTGCCACATTTGCATACAAATATACAGTCACTTCACTTTACAATAAATCTTATGAAGAGCTTTGAGAAGTCCTCCCAGCGTGAAAGGCACGACACTAAATACGTGTATTATTGTATTACTGTGATTACCAGCCGGCTGGGTGAAGTAGTGTTCAGAAGGTAAGCTTGGTTCACTGCTGCCAATCGGATTAACGGCAATAACACGGAACTGGTAATTGACATAAGGTGAAAGCTTCAGCTGTGCAGTGCTCTTTGTTCCCTCGACTTCCACTAGATGGTGCCAGGCTCCAGGCTCGAACTGGTCCTCCTCATACTCAATGATGAAATCTGTGACCAAACCAGGACAAATCAGGAGGATAACACAGGTTCATCTTGCAACGAATGCAGCCTTCAGTTGTATCAAAATTATACAATTTACAGTCAGGAACATTGTACTAAAATAATGGAATATTTTACCAGGCTAATATATATCAATAATATTAATAATATAAATGATCTAGTGGAGATATTTAAAAGGGAATCTGGTGAGCAGTGTGGAAGAAAGATATGAGAGGAAGAAAGGTATGAGAGAGCAAGGAACTGGCTCAGTGGTTTAGTTGGAGGAAGGCGTCCGGCATGAATACAGAGGGTCAATTGGCCTGTTACAGATTTCTGCGATTCTAGACCCAGTAAAATTCTAGTTCATTCAACAGATTAAAACCTTTAGTGAAAATCTTTTTCTGCAAAAAAATCTAATTAAGCAAAATGATACAGTATTCACTTCTTAAGTTTCTCAGAACTTTAAGTTTCTCAGCAATCCAAGCTGAAATGTGCTGGTTCATCTTATATGCAGTTGCTAAAGATTTGCAAAGACCTGGTCCAGAGGTTTAGAGGTTTCAGAGATTAAAGGCACGTTTTCTTGATGCCTAGTATTTGACAAAGTTGGGCCGTAATGGAGAGATCTGAGTCACTTGTACTGGATTTAATCCACAAACAGGGGGAAGCGATTCCGTCCATGTGATCTGTTCCACCAGTTGAGTAGATCACGGCAGATCTTTTCACTACCTTTATCTATACGCCTTGCAACACCTTGGAACATCCTCCCGACGTGAAAGACACAATATAATTTGTTGTTGTTGCTTTTTGTCCAAGTGTCTATCATTCACTCTCTTAGAATGTTCTAGCTGATTCTTACTGTGTGGCTTTCAAAAAACAGAACGGCAAAGTAACATAGGAAACAGAAGGAAGCCATTTGTCCCATTAAACCTCTTCTACCAATTTATAAAATCTGGACAGATGTGTTAATCCCAATGAGTGCCCTTTCACCATAGCCCCAAATAGCTCTGCTACCCGAGTATCTGTTTGTTTCTCTTTCAAACACCCCTATTGACTCTGCCTCTACAGCTTTCTGCGGCAGAGTATTCCACATCTTCACAACCCTCAGTGTCATGAAAAGTTTGATGATGTTAATTACTGGGGAAGGAAACACAAAGTTTTGCACATATTCAATATATCTTTGAAAATGGTCCTTGATTGTAAACACAAGGAAATGTGGTACTTCCACCACCAAACCCATTCCCTCTTCACGTTTCTTAGCACTTAAGCTAAAAACGACAAGCATTATATGTTGACACCAAATGTCTCATAGGCGACATTTCCCCACTGCTTACGTGAAATGGGACTGTTGTGCTCATCTCCTGGTATCCATGACAGCTGCACACTCCTGTCTAGAGGACTTGTTAATTCTAGGTCTGATGGTGGATCGGGTCGATCTGCGGGAAACAACCACCGAATTACAATTTAAAGAAAGGTTTGACACAGAATCCTGTCGCCAACCTGAAGTCACATTCACGTGCGCATAGATGCAACTGATGTGACTGCATGCATGTGGGCTTCTTTCATCTCTCATTCATACTCAATTGACAGGAAGACATTCCCATCTGCTTTGAGGGGCTGGCGTAGATAAAAGTGCAACATGCTTAACACGGTTTGCTTGAATCACTGTCTTTGCAACTGGTGATAGCCCAGGGCTTCTATTTGAATTGCTATTTACTAGTTAGAAATGTGCGTCTGGAAATGTGGGGGGAGGGGCTGCTTTATAAATTGCCCTGCAAACCTGGCTGATGTGTTGAGCTTCTCCTGCGTTTCCTGAGATCCAGTGCTAATCCTGGCATAACCTAAATACATTGTGCATCTGCTGCAGTGTTCAGCAAGCAGCTCGGAAGAGCAGGGATCTTGCGCAGCTGTGTTCGAGGGCAGGGCTGTTGCAGCCACATGCAAGGTTGAAAGATTCTACAGGCTCTACAGTCACTACATCTAAATGCAAGAGGAGGCCATTTGGGCCATCATATCAGTGCTAGTGCCATCTTCGCTCATGTGTGAATCAGCTCCAAATGTTTGCAGTAGAGCTCCCCTTGGCCGTGCTCATGAGGTATCACACGTGACCTCCAACATGTAGTTCACATTCTGCTCGGCTGCACGGATGCTTCTCCTCGTTTTACCCTGAATTATTTAAAATTTCAAGTGATAAAACATTGACATGAGCTAACTTAAACTCTGCTGGCCTAACCATGACATCATTACCTACTGGGCCCACTAAATCTCATCCTGCATTTTTCTGGAGCGTGCCATAAAACCGGCCATCAGTCAGTGGTTCCAAGTCATCAGTTTGGTGCACGTGTGCCCAGAAAGCTGGCTGCCACTCTCGCAAGCGTTTACAGTTGTTTCTGGAGCTCTTTCTCTACTTGAGCACCATTAGCCTACAAATTATACAGTCACTGCACTTTACAGTAAATCCTGTGAAGTGCTTTGAGACGTATAATTCCAAGTGTGCTCTAACTAGGTACTTAAAATAGGACCAAGCCTTGAGCTTGTCAATGTAGAAGTAATTTTGCATAGATTTTTGAGGAATGCATGGTACGGAATCAGGCCATTCAGCTCAACTAGTCCGTGCTGGCAATTCTGCCCTACCCCCTTCACCCGCTCCTTACTCCCTCTCATACCATTCTATTCCCTGCCCCTTCATGTGTATATCTAGCTTCCTCTTAAATGAATCTTTACTATCTGCTTCAACGACTGCTTTGGGCAGTGAGTTCCACATTCTCATTACTTTCCACGTGAAGAAGTTTCTTCTAAATACTCTTAGATCCCCTAGTTGCTATCTTATACCTGTGTCCCCTGGTTACAGACTCCCCAACAAGTGGGAACAGTCTATCTGTGGTAACATTAGATGGCCATGCCGTTCTTTTTGACCAGGAATCTTGCGATTCGTACAAAGCGTACAAACTTGTACAAACCTCTGCAAATAACACTCGTTCGGGTCACACAGAAACACACCTACTCACAAGGTGGCTAAAGACTGAGCAAAAACAGATCAAGACAACATTCAACAGCAAGATCCATAAAGTGCATGCAGTGACAGCAAAGTTTCACAGAAAATGCCACCCCCACAACGTGTGATGTAAACAATTCACAACAGCATGATCTACAAAAGAGATCTGATCCATCTTAAAGCAGCAGGAGATCAGTGGAAAGTGTTCCAATTTTAAAAGGATTTTTTTTAAAAAAAGGAGAAGATCGCATTGGTTTAAATGATCTGTGCACCTTTTCTCAGCTTATGGAGTCAGTGTGAAGTTAGCATAAACTTTTTTTTAACTGAACGGTCAATCATTGACATAGTGGAGTCCTGTAGCTCAGTGGTTAGAGCACTCGCTTTGTAAGCGAGAGACCTGAGTTCAATTCCAGGCAGGGCGAAACCTTGGGCAAGTTTCCTTACTTCACACGCCTAATAATAATTCCTCCAAAACCAAAAACAATAATAAATTGGTCATTTTCAATCTACGACTGTTTGTGGGACATTGCTGTGCGCAATTGGCTGCCGCGTTCACCCACAAATATACAGTCAATTCACTTTACAGTGTGTTCTGTGAAGCGCTTTGGGACGTCCTCCCGACGTGAAAAGCGCTATATCAAATGCAAGGATTATTATTATTATAACCTCCCTTTGGGGAGCCAGTCATAGCTTGAACTTCACAAGACAGGTCTAGATAAAGAGAGCCCTTCAGCCTGTTTGATCTCATCCTTCTAGACGCTCAGCCCACTGGCTTGCTATTCCAGCATCAAGTTGAATCCCATATCCTGGCATCAACCACTTTTTTCATAGTTCCTCTGTGTAAAGAAATATATCCTGGACTCTGCCTGAAATGGCCCTTTGCAACCCTGAACTTTTACCCTCTCCTCCTGCTCCCTTAATAAAACAGGCCAAAGAAACAGCGCTAAACTCCGCTACAGTCTTCTTCCTGTAATTCATTAATTCACAGTCAGAGCCACAGAACCCATCACAGTGGCTTTTCACAACCCTCCCACCCTGACTTTGAACAATGTCACCCTCAAGAACACAAATCAGCTGTCGATGAGCGATCTACCAATGCTCTGCAGCAGGTCACAACACACAGCAGGCTTTGTGTGTCAACTTAAATTTTCTATTCCTTTTCCCCCTTGCCAAGTTTTCTTCCCCCTCCCTCCACCTCTACTGAATTTGTGTAGACTCCTCTTTCCCCAGTTCCAGGCACCCTCCAACCTCCCCCAAGTGTGGCTATTGTAATTGCGGTGAGCTTCAACAGTCAGCGAGTGTCCGCAGGCGATTCAGCCGTGGAGGCATCAGAGTCGGGCACAACCCTGTTCCTACCTGACCTGTCCGCACACCCTCAACCTTCCAGTCGGGTCTCTGGATGGTGATCAGGAGCAGGGGAGCCTGGCTGATCATCCTTTCTCAAAGAGTGAATTCTCTCAGCTCTCGAGCGCCATTATGACGGTGAACCCAGCAGCATTCAATGGTGGCAAGCAGCCTTTATACTAGTGCATCCCTGATAATGGACTTAAATGGTACTTGAGAACTTTCTTTTTGCAGCAAAGCCCAGATTTGAATTGAACATCCTCTGAGCTCACTGCCACACTTTGACATGGAAAGCTGCTGTTGTGAAAACATGATTCACCCATTCCTAGGAGGTGAATGACGCATAACACAAATAGAGCTACAGTTCGACACAGAAGGGCTGAAACAAATGTATCTAACCCACACCCACACACAAATAATGGCATATGTTTGTGGCATGAGAAAGAAATGCTACATGGAGGTGGAGCAATGTTGAGCCGGGTCAGCATTATAGCCCAATGTGCTCAGCCTTAAATGGCGATGAGATTAAAATAAACTCAGACACATGCCACATCACTGCTGCAAAATTATACCAGAGCTACATCAAATCAAATGAAAGAGCGAAATGTGTCCAGACAGACTCTTATCATTAGTTTACCGTCAGGCCTAGCCGGAGTTGTGGAAATAGCTGGAAGGAAGAGTAAGTTTCGGGTTTAGTAGTGGTTAGTAAGAGAAAGCAGACAACATCTTTCAACCAGTAACAGAGATGAATAATCTCCTCTGCGCTATCTGACCATAACCTCTCTGAATCACAACATCTTACCAAGAAAGTATTCCATGAAATGCCAGAGCATCTGCTTTTCAATCATAAGTTCAGTCAGTTTAGCGATGAAGTCACTCAAAACCATGTGCCATTTTCAAAATGCCCGTTGTTTATTGTGACTTGGCCAACTTTGTGTTTGATGCAAGGAGGTGCGGTTTGGTTCAAGATTTGTTTGGGCGTTTTGGCTTGTGTAGTTAGAGGCAAGACGAACTGGAGAGGTTTACAAGTGTTACATTCAGCCATATTGGTGTGAGTGTATTTATTAAAGTGTAGACACTTGTTTCCCCCCCCTTCTCCTGTTATTTTGTGAATCGTCCAGTGTGGTAGGTTTCTCCGCACCTCAACTTTGAGGCACTGACAATATAGATATCGGGAAATAATCAGAGATCCATTGAATTTTGACAACCAGCTACATTCTACCATCTCGCTGTCGTGCAGGAAGGGGGAAACAAGACTGAATTTACCTAGAACAGTGAGGGCAGCTGTAGCGGAGTTCACATCCAGGGTGGTGTTCACAATGCACGTGTATGATCCCTGGTCCTCTTCAGTCACATGAAGAACAGTCAAGGTGTCCCCAAACACCTGGTGCCTGAAATTATACAGTGTAATTTACATTGATTTCACGTCTAGGTGGGGAGGACGTCTCAAAGTGCTCACCAATGCTGGCTGGCTACCCAGGCATGTAAGAGGATTGTCATGATCTTGATCCTTTCAAACAAATGAACCCCGGCTGTATTTGGTTGGCAGTTGTCTGTCCGCACAGCAGCTACTTCTGAACGGATTATTAATGTGTGGAATTCGAAGCAGGACCTATTTCAGGTTTCAGGTGGTATAGATCATTATGGTATTTACCTGTTGCATTCATCAGCAATGCCGGCTTTTCCCCAGCCGGTGAGTTCTCAGCCAATATTACACTAGGAACGGTGAAAAGGGACGGTCTCACAGACAGGGAAGAGAATCAATAGGGTCAACAAACTGAGCTTCATTACCCATTCAACAACAATTTGCATTTATATAATGCCTTGGATGTAGATAGCAATTCATAAGTTAGTCCTTCACATGAGAGAGAGGGGAAGAGGTGAGGATGCGCGTGAAGTGTAAACACCGACACGGACTGATTGGGCCAAGTGGCTTGTATCCGTGCTATGCATTCTTTGTAAATCTTTGTTAATATATGCCTTTCAGGGTCTGGCTCAAACCAAGCACAGCACAGGGCGTGGGAGGAGATCAGGGAAAATGTAACAGTGTTTCAATCCATGGCTCTATTTTCACGGAGTCTCCATTACCTGCTATCGTCTGGCAGCTCCTCACCGTTCTTGAGCCATATAATAATTGGAAGCAGTGTTGGGTCGTGCTTCACCTGACACTCAAACACAGCGGTGCCCAATTTCTCCACAGACTGGTACTCAGGCTGTTTGATGATCGTAGTTGGATCTGCAAGTTAACATTTGTTTACCATTTTTAAACAAAAGAACCCTGAATTTTTTTGTGTGTTTGTGGAAAATGTTTTGAAAGCGACGTCTCTGTTCACATCCTGGAATTCGGGACTGAACACCATCACCCCGTGCTCGGAATGGTTTGAGGAGGAAGCCCATCGATGCCTTCTCAGAGCAACCAGCCACGACGACATCCTGACACAGTCCTAAAAACTAACTCACCTTTGACCTCCAGAAAGGCTTGGTTGTGGGCGACTCCCAGTGTGTTGGTGGCGATGCAGGTGTATGTTCCGCTGTTGTTCTTCTGGGCAATGATGATTTCCACTGTGCCATTGTCATGGAAAATGTAAGAATCACCATATAGAATGCTGCCATGCCCATCCTTGAACCTGCGGTTCAAGACAACAAATGGAATAAGTAAATCTGTGCAACTCTCTAATAAGAGCAACGTGTGTGTGTGTGCATGCGTGCATGCGTGTGTGTATACATATCAGTGTACGTATGTCTGTGTATGTACAATATATGTAAGTATTGTATGTACGCATACATGTATAAGTGCGTGCATGCACCCACCCACACACACACACACATACATATGTGTATCTCAAAAGGTGGTGCACATGGTGCAAAAGATCTGCCAATGATTCAGAGGCACTTGTCTCAAAAGAATTAACCAGATTATAAAAGCATGTGAAACTGTGTTGACAATGTCTTTACCATTGGATTTTGGGGATTGGGGATCCAAAAAATGCACAATCCAGCCAAGCAGGCTTGTTGGCTATAACCTGGTAGACCTGGTCACTGAAGCTAAGCATTCTAGGAGGTTCAGCTGAAAATACAAAAACATTTAACACATCAATGCCTGAAATCTACAGACTTTTCTTTTAAAAAAAACTGTTTCCAAACACTGGAGTCACACGTTTCAGTGGTACAGACTGATGAATTCACAGGATCGCACATTACAGATTCAGGTGAATGCAACATTTGCTAAGAATACTCAGACAACCTCATATCAGACAAGTGAGGTATAAATTAAGCCTCATTCATAGCAGTGTGAATGTTCTTTTCTGGTGGTGGGAAACATACAGCATTCTGAAACCTAATACAAGATTGACTGAAAATTATGCTCTGCATACATCAGTCTCTGAAGAAAATTGCCATTATCCAAATGGGATATTATTCTGAGTATCTGAAAGAAACACGGACTTGATGGTCCCAGGAAAACTCACCAAGGACATTGACGAACGCATTGGCCAGTAAGTAGCCATGCTGGTTGGAGGCGTTGCACTGGTAGACTGCGCTGGTGGAAACCTGCACCTTTGTAAACATGATCGTGTCGTCCATCAGTTGTCGGCTGACATCACTGGGGGCACCTGTCAATCCCACAAGAGCACAGTTTGCATCACAGTTCCAAATGGCATTCCGAGAATAATAATCAATAGTAATAATAAAATAATAAATATTGCATTTGACATCGCCTTTCGCGTCAGGAGGAGTCCCAAAGCACTTAATAATAATCCTTGCATTTGATATAGCGCTTTTCGTGTCTTCTAGACGTCTCAAATATACTGTAAAGTGAATTGACTGTATATTTGTGGGCGAACACGGCAGTCAATTGCGCACAGCAATGTCCCACAACCAGTCATAGATTGAAAATGACCAATTTATTATTGTTTTGTTTTTTGGAAGGATTATTATCAGGCGTGTGGAGTAAGGAAACTTGCCCAAGGTTTCGCCCTGCCTGGAATTCACTCGGGTCTCTCGCTTGCAAAGCGAGTGCTCTAACCACTGAGCTATAGGACTCCACTTTGTAGGATTTAAAGTGTAGTGACAGTGTATTGTGTAGGCAAACACAGCAACCAATTGGTGTGCAATAATGTCTCCCGAACAGCCATGAAATGAATAAGCAATTTAACTTAAGGATTATTGGTCAGGACACTGGGAAAAACTCCCTTCTCTTTTCAAATAGTGATGTGGGGTCTTTAACGCCCACCCGAACAGGCAGACATCTTATTCTAAATACACGTCCAACAGTGCAGCACACCCCCAGAACTGCAGTGGAGTGTCAGCCTAGACTATCTGATTCCCAAGGCCTGATGTTTGGCTTCTAACTCAAAGGCAAGAGTGCTACCAACTGAGCCAGGCTAACACTCACGTGTCACACAAGACAAAGCAGGAAATCGTGCACCATTCTGCTGTCAAGTTGCAGCTGCAGTGCCCTGCCCAAAAGACAGGCGTACATTATATTTTGCTCTTACTTTCAATGGGAAAGCCGTTGACAAGCCATTGGACAGCGGGCTTCGGGTTGCCATTGGCTCTGCAGATTATCGTCCCGTCTTCGCCTGGGGCCAGCACCAGGTTCTTGGGCTCATTTATCCAGTACGGTGCGGCTGTCAAGGCAGGAAACAAAACTGCAGCTTCACGCTATAAAAGTAGGTCCCGAGCTGACTGCAATCACTACCACTGTCACCCACAAAATTAATCTCTGTCCTTATCTTAAGTGCTGGTCACTGTTCTTACACATCCCCAATGTGAATAAGCACGGAAACAACAAACTCGCCTGTGTGAAACTGCTCATTCCATAATTTAACTGGTAGAAATAGGCACTTCTTCAATTGTTTGATTAATCCATGTGTTTAATACAGCAACCATTCTGTTGAAATTGCTGGCAAGAACAGTAAACAGTCTACATGTAGTGGGGGGTTAGCACCAGGTTAGCAACATATATACACAGCAATGTCCCACAGCCTCGAGTCAAGGACCATTTTAACTGTTCATTCAAATAATGTTTGTCTAAAGTGACCAAACCTGCCTGAACTGAAGGTAAAATTGGTCAGTACGAGAACTGCTTCCTCTCCCATCCCCGCCATCCACCCTCCATATTTGCTCCATTACACTGGCCCAGTACCTTTGACTGTGACTGAAATAGTATGCTTGTTGGTGCCCATCTTATTCTTCGCCGTGCACTGATATCTTCCAGAATCCGCCTCGGAGACGTCAATGATTTTCAGGGTCTTCTTATAATTGATTTGGAAGGCCCTGTTACTGGGCAGTTCTCCACCTTCCTTATTCCAACGAATTACAGGTGTGGGTCTAAAAATAAATAATAATAATCTTTACATCTGAGACAGCATCTTTCACGTTTGGAGGACATCTCAAAGCACCTCTCAGGTAAAATGTAGTGGCTGTGTATTTTGCAGGCGAACACAGGAGTCAATTTGCATACAGCCAAGTCCCACAAACAGCCATGAAATGAGTGACCAATTTTATTTGGGGGTTTGTTGGCCAGGACACTGGGGAGAAACTCCTTTCTGGGGAGAAACTCCCTTCCCTTTTCAAATTGTGCTGCCGGACCTTTAATGTCCACCTGAACAGATAGGCAGCACCTCGGTTTATTCGAAGGATAGCATCTCCAACAATGCAGTACACCCCCAGCACTGCACTGGAGTGTCAACTTAGACTGAGTTCAATGTCCTGATGTGGGGCTTGAACACAGAACCTCTGACTCAGAGGTGAGAGTGCAAACAATTGGGACAGGCTGACACACAAATATATCATATACATGAGAAGCAGATTCGACGCAGCAGTTATCAACATGAAGAAATCTCTTGATGAAAGTCCCACGTGAAACTTAAATTTACTTGGAAAGAAATGTGACAACAAAAGAGTTAACTTACAGACCCTCCGCGATGCATTCCAGGTACAGAATTTGTCCTCTCAACACCATTTTATTGCTGCGGGTTCCTTTGGGACTCAGAATGCTGGGCTTACGCTCTCCTGCAGGGCTATCTGTAAGCATTCAAACACTGAAGTTATCAACAGCACTGATGGCACGGCTGACCAGGACCTTTTCAGCAGAACAGAAGGCCGATAAAACCTTCCACGAAAAAACAGGGTCTCCAAATTCCACCTGGTGTTAGCCAGCAGGCTTTCTGCCACTCTGCCCCAACTCTGGAACTCCATCCTGCAGGCCCTCCGCCTCGCCCCCTCCCTTGCCTCCTTTAAGACCCATCTCAAGATCCTCCTCTTCGACTGTGCTTTCGATCACCTTCATTCCCCCCCGGCCTCCATCCTCCCCAATCCCAACCCCCCCAGCTCAGATCCGTAACACTGACTGTCCAGCTCCTTGGGATATCCTTCCAACATGAAAGGCGCTATACAAATGTAATTTTGTTGTTGTCGTAACTTCAGGGGAAAAGACAAGGTGGATTTGGAAGCCCAGGACTGCAAAGTGAGAGAAAGACCCAAGGATTTTCAGCAATAAACCACAGTTATAAAGAGCGCCACTAGTACAGTGTTTACGCTGCACTTTGACCACAAGTCGCTAGTTCGTTCTGTTCTGTGCTGAGGAGCACGATTCACAAGTGATTCTCACAAGGGACTTGGAGGCATGGTTTCAGGAGCTCTTGGGTTTGCAGNAAAAAAGACCCTGTGAATTTGAACAAAGCACCCACTCTTCTGCGCCCCACTGGTCACTCAAATGCTTACGGGTGGTTACAATGTAGCATTAAAAACCTCAGCGCTCCAAAAATGGAGTGAGTTATATGTCAGATCCATGCAACGAGGAGTGAGATGAATAAATCAAGCATCCATTGCTGGATGTACAGTGCAAATTCTTTCTCACAACTACCAAGCTATGAAACTTTTGATCATATTTTCCATGTAGGAGTTAGCTGGGATTCCGAAATGCTTTGATTTAAGCTTAAGATTGCTCCAACCGTGGCCAATGACTGAGTCCACATGCGCACAAAACTTGGACGACCTGTGCTAACTGCAGCATAAGCACATAAAGCTGTCTCAGTCCAGCCCACCTACCTTATAATCCATAGATAGAAGTCTTCTTTCAACGTTAAAATAACCTTTCACATTTTAGCTTTTAATTTTATCAAAAAATAGCACCATGCGCAGGCAAGTCTTGCTTATGACTGTGTAAGTAACTTACTGTTGTGACAGTGCTGCTGATGGAAACTAATAAGAGAGTGGGCTGCACCAGCATCAGGCTATAAAAAGATGTGTCTCTACTTATAAGGCCTTTGTAATCTTCGAAACTGGTTCTTTCCTTTGACTTTCTCCTCCTCATTCTTTGTTTGCGCTTCTCTCTCTGACAGTCACCCACTCAGAGGCCGGGTTTCAATCCAATTTCTCACTTATAATAAATATCCCAATGGCAACTCAAAGTGTTTCACACAATTTTTAATCTAAAGTGTATTTTTGTGGGTGGCAGCCAATTTGTGTGCATTTGACACACAAGTTCAAAAGTACTACAGACACAGAGACATGTACACAGACAGACAGCAGGGCAGTCTGATGTTGAGTCAACCTGGGCTCAATTGAACAAGAAAAGATAGAAATGGTTCTGCAAAGTGGAACCTCTATTCTCGTCAGACAATGACTATTACTCAGTTATTTTGGAAGATAAGAGGAACCACAAATAAATCCATATCATAAGCTTTGGAAATTGGTAGTTAAAAGTGTAGCTTTCAGTAATTTTACAACAACAATGGTTACTTATGAAAATAAGAAGTTAGAGAGGGAGGAGGGGAAACATTAAAAAAAAATTGCAGAAAGCTCCATTTCAACAGACCTGCGGATTATTGCATTAGAGACTTAAAAAGAAAACGTATCTCTCCTTAGCGCATTTGACCTCACCGGAAGAATCTCACTTTGCAGAACAGCTTTGTATCATTATTGAATCACTTTTATCCCTTTTATGATTCCTCCAAAGCCGTGACACTCCTTTCCCAGCTTTTACTGCGCCAGCGGATCACGGTCAATTACATAGGTTTTTGCTTCCAATATTTTAAATTAATCATTTTGTTTTCACAATTCAGACCACTCAGTCGGTCACTGCTCGTGGTTGGGGTGCCACAAAACCGCCCTCAACTTACACTGTGGGCTATTTCCAACCAGATAAAGATTGTCGCACCATCGTACTCAAAATGTGTTGCTCTCAGAATAATGCAACCAATAGCTGTGTCCACATGCTACCTTTTCGTGCAATATTAAATGCTGACCCCTGGAGGCTGCACCAAAATAAAGCATCACCTTTGATCATTTAAAACCCACACTGAGGACGTTCAATTTGAATCAAACCATTCCAGCAGTGGAATGGTTTGAAACTTGGCAGAAATCAGGTAAAATGATTGGAGTATGCTTCACCTCGGGGGAACCCAGGAAGACTTTCAAGTACACCCCTCTGCACTGTTCAAATGGCAAAGGGGCTGGTAATGTATACCCTTAGTTCACAAAAGAAAAGCTTCACTGTGCATTCATGGTAGAAAGCTGACAAGAATTTACAAGGAGAGAGGATGGACTTGGACCATAACTCAGGAAGAATCTGCTGCCAATTTCAAGCTGTACTTAGTAAAAAAAGACTGCAAACTGAATTTATTGCTGCTCGCTCGATCAGATCGATTGCAGTCAAACACTGGACCACAAAATTGTCATATAAACCCAAAGAGCTTCAGGATCCCAAACCTTTGACTAGTAAAATCCTGTATCAGACAGATCAGTGGAATGCAATCTGGGGCACTTATAAAATAACCAAGCAGAGTTGCAGAACTTTACATGAAGGATGATCACTGGGTCTCTTCATGGATCTGATCGTTCTGTGCAGCAGGTCCACTGAGGTTAGACTTTCGTAGTTAGTATGAAGACATGACACATATAGGAAACAAGGGTTAACGTAATCTGAATAATGAGTAACTATTTGCTCTCGTTACCTGGATTACAGTTTCTATATGTTATGGATACACTGCACGAGGTATTGGGGGTATTGAGACTTTAGTAACATAGGACTGGGATTTGGAAGAGATTGGAATGGTTACAAGCACAGGACAAACTCTATTGTGTTAGGACAGGAACACCAATAGGGGCACCATAACTCACCACCACTTAATTCAGTGCCATTCGAAATAGCTGCATAAGTCTCATTGATTGCATCCACTGAAACAAACAAAAGAATATCAACATGCTGAGGAGTTATCCCAGGAGGTGCCAGTGGGAAAAAGGGTGGCAATCGTCAGAAAACATTAAAAGAGCAAACCAAAACGGAATGCAACTTCCAAAATTATTCCAACCAATCTTAAAGAATGGAGATGGAGGGCAGGAGGGTTCATTAGAGAGTGTGCCACAATTTACTAACATGAAGTTCATGGTGAATGGTCTTTATTTGGGAGGTGTGGGGAGAGGGGGAAAGCAAGTGGATTTAAAAAAAAGTTTTGTATTCTAAAAATTAAGCAGGGTACCCTTGGAGCTGAACTGTCTCCAACGTGACATGCTTGGCAATGGAATGTCGGAATCAAGTCAACCCTCTTTAGCGGTCTCAATAATCCAATTCCTGGTTATCCAGCTCCGATGAGCTAGGTGGATCCGCAGTACCTCAGGGCCCAGCACAGCCTTGCTCATTAGCAGGACTTGGAAAGGCAGACCAGTGACTGGGGGCATGAATCCTTCCACTATTCTCACATTAACTATGCAAGCCAAAGCCTGAACAGGTTGGGTGGTTTTAGCTGGTTAAACTCCAGCAGTACCCCAACACACACTGATGGGATTGCCAAGATTTGACTCTTGCAAACCTGCGCCTAATACTGTCCATAATTAGGTAAGCAGGAAGTGTCCCTCCAGGGTGAGAGTGCACATTCCATTCCACACACGGTAATTTCCAAACTCGGGTCAGTTTGGTTTGGGTACTCTTAAGTACGCTGATGGATTTCCACTTGTATCAACCACCCATTAAACAAAAAGAAAGTCTCACAAATCTAGTGTGATTTCATTTCATCAGCACAACTCAGTTCACAACACATTGGCTGTTTTGAAGGTGGAATATTTGATTCTCATTTTTATCAGATGTATACTGAACTGAGGCTGCTGTTCCTTCCTCACACACAAGGAGCAAACCATCAAGTCAAACAGGACTTTTAGAGTAATGATATCAGGTACTGTCCAGACTTGAGCACTGCCACAAAAGAAGGGGATTAGGCTGTGCCAAAAGCAGATAAGACTGGATCCACTTGATGCCAAAGCAAAGTAGAAAGGCAATGTTACCTGCTAGTACAGGGAAAATGGTTTCTTTCAGGTCACTGCTTGTTTGCACTTTGTGGGATCAAGTCTTTATTGTGATAATCTGTATTTTTTTTGTTTTAAGAAAAGTCATGTTTTAACTACACAGAGGTACGATGCAGAATTTCAGCCACAAAGAACAAGACTGACATTGATGTGTTGACTGCACCCATTTAAGCACAACTGTCAGGACGTAGCAACAATTTACAAATGCATTTACGCAACATTCACATGGCAACATATCATGTGTGGCCCTCATCTGGAATTGGATGTTGCCACCCAATACACACAATACTAGTGGCTCTACTGTAAAGCGGGGGCAAGTTGGAAAACAATGCAACTGTCAACGTTAGTAATTGGGAAAATAGTAACACTGCAACATTACTGGCGTTCTGTCTGTCTGGTTGATCTTACAGAATGCTGAAGCCCAACAATTTCTAAAAATGACTCATATTTCCTATCTCTCACGCTGCTCCGCAAATACATGGAACAAATACCCCTGTTTTTTTCAAGTAGTTTGAACAGGGCGATGCTCCCCATTGTTTGTGCACATGGTCAGAGTGCACACGAGGAAGCATCACCCTTTACATATCCAAGACAAATGGAGAAGGGAAGGCATCACTTACTTGTTAACACCCTGACCGAAATTGGCTGTTTCTGTTGGATGGTTTGAGTGTGGTTAAATCTGGCGTAGCAGATATAGTCACTCCGGCTGTCATTTGGTAGGACATTCGAAAAATAAAGGTCTCCGTTCAAACCCTGGGACACCCTTTCATTTTGTGGAAATCTCCGCATCACTGAAAAATTAATACAAAAGGATTAAGAATTGCAAATATGAAAATTAACACATGGATGTCTATCATTTGCTTATTGCGCTAAATAGTCATCTTTCCTGTTACCTTTTTATAGCGAGACCACTCCCAATGTGAACAATGGGTGTTAAACTTTGTACTGAGGTAACGCTGAAAATTAACGTTTGAAGAGCCCTGGGTTGTCCAATCGGTGCTCAACATAGCTCATTCTGCTATCACTGGGAATCAACCTTATTGCTCTCCTTTCTTCCGCCTCTGGTCCTCAGCAGCATCCCCTTATGTCGTGGTGACGAGACCTGAATGCAATACCCTTGGTGCGGCCTGACCAGAGCACTGTACAGTCTGATTTTGATGTTCTGGAATCTAAACTCAACTGATTTGGCAATGTAGCCCAGCATCCTGTTTGCCTTGTTAATTGCTGCCTCAAACTGCTTTGACATCGTGAACTACAAGTCAACTAACACCCCTAGATTTCTTCCAGCTTCCCCTTTGGCAAGTTCTGCCCCATTCATAGAATACATGTGTTTATTTCTAATAGAGTTTCATTTGCCTATTATCAGTCCGTATGCATAACCTATCAAGCTCTTTTTGTAAGACCGTTGCCTCTGATTCCAGTTTCGGATTTGCCCTTCCGGGAATCAAACCCAGGTCTCTCGCTTGTGAGGCGAGTGCTCTGACCACTAAGCTACAGACTCCTGTAAGCTATCTATGTCTCTACTTCAGAGGAAATGGCTCTGCACCATTTGTAGATAAAATTGTGTTGCGAATAACACAAACTTCCACACAATGGTTCAGAGGTGGCTTTTACCAAAATAAATGATGAGGAAAATGGGAGAGTCTTGTTTCAAGCACCGATGATTCCCCCTTCGATAAATTGCATCCAAAAATGTCAGCCTCGTCCCTGGATCTTTAACCTCTTAACAATCCTGCGATCAGGTTTCTCTTTGAAAATGACCAAGACACACCTGCAGGAATCTTTGTGGAGTACTTACAGCTGTCCATCCAGAAGATGATAGGCGGTGGCAAGCCAGCTGGAGGGTCACAGCGGAGGACTAGAGCAACACCTTCCTGGACTATAATTGGTTCTATTTTCTCTTTTGCCCACATGGGGGACCCTATGTGCAAGATAGGAACATAGTACACATTATAAAACATTGCAACACAGCAAATAGACGCAATATCTGTTCAGCCAATAGGGCAGTTTAAACAGCGATCCAATACCGTTTCTTTAGCATTGGAACAATGTATCAATTGGGGAAAGGGGAAGAGTTGTTGTTCAAACTGTGGAAACTTGTGACAGACAAATACAACTTTGGAGCTAGTTAAGTGTCATTGAGCCACACAGGTCATCTGCAAATTGGCAGCTGTCCTGGCATCCGCAAAAGACTGCAAAATGTCAATACAACCTTTTAACTTACAAGGAACGTTTTTTCTGGTTTCTAGTCCGGGTTCTGTGTTTTCAAGTTTTTAAGCCAGATTTCCCTCCCTCCCTCCTTTCCTATTCAAATATCTGAGAATTGCCAGAAGACATTGGGAAACCTGGGAACTCTAAATGACTTCATTACTGGTTCTTAAAAAGTTTTCAAACAGTCGTTTCATAGTCAGAGTCCTGGAGCGGGACCAGATTGCTCTGTCAATTGTGCATGAGAACACAGTGCATTTTTGTACCAGTCTGTCACTAGGAAAAAGACAAACGGATTCCGAGAAATAAAATGCATCTTTCATGGAACTGTGTTACTGGTCGTCTTTCTCAATCTTTGTCAAATAACATGTGGGAAACAGTTCTGCTGGGGAATTGGAGTCTCAAACATCTAAAAGGGAAGAACGAGTCAGGGAAGGAAGAAAGGAACCAAGTCATGCAAACATACAACCAACCAACCGGAAGCTAGTCACCTTGCAGCAAGATGAATTTGATGATTAAAAAGATGTCTTTAATTGGAGTGAAAAAAAGAAAAGCAATCATTAAATTGGCAGAATTCAACTGACAAGAATTATCTAAAAATAAAGCCGGAACAAACGCACTCCTCAAAGGGGGGAGGGGAATATAATTAGTGGCAGGGTTCTGGGGGCTAATGGAATCGTTCGTGATTCCCACATTATTGTAATATACATTTGGGAAGTTAGCTATTCATGCGCTGGCTCCACATTGTCCTCTCTGTTTTACTGTTCTAAAGTGGAGACCTCACTCAGAGTACACAGGGCAAACCTCGTAATAACATGGTGGCTTTGATCTATAACGCTCATGTTTTGGTGTCGCCCTGTTTGTTTATTTTTGTAATGTTGTTGGTATCTCACTCTGTGTGCAACAGCACACAGATGTATTTCGTAAATGCCGTTTGGACTCTAGGTTAGCCTCTTTCAACCAGGTGTGATTTCAAATACAATGTCAAATTCCAAATGAATTTAAGGACCAAACCTATTTAAAAGCTTTTCACCTGGGAATTGCTGACAATTGTGGTGTCTTTGCAATTGGAGGCAAATGTGGCAGCCAATTTGCGCACCACAAGGCTTGGTCCACAAACAGCCATGAGGTGATTGATCAATTTGTGGAGGACTGATGGGCTTCGCATTAGCAGAAACTTCCTTCTCTTTTCAAATAAAATCGTGGGATCTTGAATGTCCACCTGAACAAGCAGATGGGACCTCGGTTTAACGTCGCTTCTGAGAGATGATATCTCCGACAATGCAAGGCTCCCCCAGTACTGCAGTGACCTGTCAACCTAGATTGTGAGCTCAAAGTCCTGACGTGGGGCTGGGCCACAACGTTTTGCCCAGAAAGCAACAGTGGTACTAACTGAGCCAGGCTGACACAAGCTGAGAGAACGCATGGTACTTTCACTGAATTAACATACCTCACAATAGACACAATGAGAGATATCAGCCCCCAATGCGCTAGACATTAGCAGCTTGGCCAGAGGCAATCTGTGGATGGTCTCCAGTGATATTTAAAGCTATTTTGGGTTTATGCGGGCATCACTGCATCACTCAGTGGAATAACGATCGACAAAGTTAGAACACAACACAGATTTCTTCAAAAAAAAGTATCCCCTGTTATTTTGTTCAGAGATTTCAGAGATTGCTAAATGTGGGTGACAAGGGAGTAGTGGTGAATCACATCTGAATTCCTCTGCTCTATGACATTAATACTATACTGAACAATAATGTCCTGAAGAGGAATTCTGCAAGTGCCACTTGCCAGGGAGCCAAAAAGAAATGCCAAAGAGTGGCTTTCTGAATTTAGCATCAACTGTTTTTTTCTAAAAATTGTGTTGTGGGTTCGCCAGTGCTTACGTTTGCTCCTTATTCTCTCAGGCAAGGTAGAACCATAAACATTTACAGCACAAAAGGAAGCCATAGGCTTATTGTGTCTGTGCTGGCTCCTTTTTTAAAGAACAATCCTTTCAGTCCCATTTACCTGACCTTTTCCCACACCCTTATAATAATAATCCTTACATTTAGGAAAGCCCCTTTCACGTCAGGAGGATGTCTCTAAGCGTTTTACAGGAAGTACTGGAAGGTGGAGAATGACTTGTGTGTTGCAGGCAAATGCGGTAGCCAATTTGTGCACAGCATTAATCCACAAACAACCATGAAATGAATGATCAATTTTATCTAGGTAATTGTTAGCCAGGACACTGGGAGAAATTCACTTTTCTTTTTGAATAGTGCCATGAGATCTTTACGCTCCACCTGCAGAAGCAAGACAGGGCCCATTAGCTGGGTCTCATCCAAAGGACAACACCACCAACAATTAAATGCAGTGCACCCTCAGCACTGCATTGGAGTGTCGGTCTAGAATATAAGAGTTCCAAATCCTGTCTTAGGGCTTGAACCCACAAAGTTCTGCCTTAGAAGCAAGAGTGCTACCAATTGTGCCAGGCTGACACATAAAATCACCACGTGTTGTAAAGTGCAAAATCACTATTTGGCAAAGAAGCATCAGGAAGTGGGTTTGTACTCACTGGACTGGCGGATGACAATTTTGTTGGAGACAGCTGTGCCCCGGTCATTTCTCGCTGTACACTGATACTCTCCTTCATAGGCCTCTGCCTTCCCACCACCGACAATGTCAATCACCAGAGTCCCCGAATTTGGTTTCATTATCACCCTGGAGTCTTTGTCAATATCAAAATGGGTTCCATTGCGAGTCCACGAAAAGCTGCAGAAGAAGAACCCGAAGATTGTTTGTGACCAAAATGTAGCCATGTTGGAACAACCTCGCAACACACACAGCATTGCAGCCATGTTCCCACAGGTCACACATACAGCATCACCCAATGCGGGGAAAAGAGTCAGACACTGCAGTCAGGTTACAGGACTGCTTCCTGACATGTTTCTGCAATACCCGCCGGTGTCCATGATAGATCCCATTCAGAGCAACTCTGTGTTCAGGTGGAACACCAAATGCCTGGCCGATAACTTATGCCAGTGGTAGACAACTTATTTGGTCGGCCAAAGAAATACATTTTTCTTGATTTAATCATGCTTGATTTATAGGCCACACCATAAATCATGCTACTCAGTAGCTACTCAAAACAAAATATGGATTTAACACAGACTAACATAGACTATTGCGAAGTGGGCCACTTTTTGACGCCCCCACAGGACACTTTTGGCCTGCGGACTATGGGTTGGCCACAACTACCTTACACAGTTGTTCGGGGTGGGTGGTGAGATAGGTACAAACAAGAGATGGCAATACATGATGTGACTGGGAGGTGACAGGAGAGAAAAGGCTCTGAGAGATGCAGAGTTTCTGTGTGAGTTACAAACTTCTTTCTCCACTCTCTTCTCAGGTCGCAACAAATTCCTCTTGGAGCAAACGGATGTTAAAAAGCAACAAATTCCCAGAAGCTCTGGGAGTGGAATAGAAAGTTGCTCACAGTGAGAATGTGGCATTGACTCAGCACATTTTCTCATGTCTTTGGGGACCTTGTTTTTTCCTCAGAGAATTTCAAGGCTCATAAACATCATGGTACCTCTTACACATCCACATGCCCAAGATCACAAGATTGGTTCGGAAGTATAAGGCCGTATGGTCCATTTGATCTTTCCTTCCTGAATACCCACTCCACCTGCCCTCCCATCATAGCATTAAGCTGTTTCTTCAATAAGTCCAAAATTCTGGCCTCAACCACTTTGCGTCTTCCCTTTGTCTCCTCTCATGTTTTCTCTTCCTGTCTGTGCAGACCCTTGGTCCTCTTCTCTTCACCATCTCTGCGCACCCTCTTGATAACATCACCTCCACATATTGACTCCACATACATGCCACTGACTCCACATATATGCAGATGAAACCTGACTATCTCTCTGTCTCCTGATCCCAGGATCACTTCTGTTCTGACTAATTGCCTGTTAGACATCAAGTCCTGGATGAGCTTTTACTTCTTTCAGTTCAACACTAACAAGACTAAGACTTTCCTGCTTGGCTCTCATCCGTGTCTTCTGATCTCAGGCGATGGCCCCATAACCTGCACGTTAATCTCTCCACCTCATGGAGTTGGTTACAGAGCCTTGGTGTCTTGCTTGATCTCCAACTGTCTTTCAAGTCCAATATCCAGTCTCTCATGAGCTCTGTTTTCCCTCACCTCTTCAACATCGCCCGCAGTACTCTTCCACTATCCTACATGCCTTATCACTTCATCAAAACGTCTCAAAGTGCTTCACAAAAAAATTAAAGTGCTGTGATAATGGGTGTTTTGTGGGGAGACGTGGAAGTGATCTACAAACAGAAGAGTGAATCAGCAATTCTATTTGGGGGAGGGGGATTGTTGGCCAGGACAACATGAGAAACTCCTTCTCTTTTTGAATAGTACCATGGGATCTTCACTGTCCAGCTGAGCAGAGCCGAGGGCAGTTGGGAGTGAGGATGCAAATACAGTAACAACGGCTTCAAACATTGGACAACAAATGCAAATGTGAAAAAGGATACTGCTGGAGGGGATCATAAAAACTTGGATGGATATGTTCAAATGCTCTCAAAAACACATGTATTTAAGCAGTTTCCGACCCCCAGCTGTTGATCAGGGCTGTGCAAGACCATTAGCTGGGTCTTAGCATCTGTTGCTGACACTCTTTAAAGTGGTTAATGAGAGTGAGAATCAATACAGACCTGGGGGGTGGCTTCCCTTTCGCCTCGCACTGGATTACGATGTTATCCCTGGGGTCTATTACGTAATCTTTTGGAGACTGGCGGGTGATAGTAGGAGGTTGCGACACTGGAGTGAAAAGAAAATTGGAGAGAGGGGGAAGAAAATGAGGCGGAGAAGACAATCAAAACGATACCTGATTGACATCAACTGAGAGGAGGCAGTGAAACAAAAACAACCGATAAAGATACCAACATGCCAACTTGCCAGTCATCAGCCGGAAACATCGGAGCTGCATGCAGATTCTGTGCTGCTCAGCAGGTCAGGAGAAACCTCGGTGAAGGGACTGACCCCTTTCCAGCAACAGGCTCTTTCTCTGTCGCTGAATGTGCAGGTGAACTCACCTCTGTAACTCACCTCTGTCATTTGGGAGACCTCCTTTGAGAACTCCCAGCTGAATGGCCCAGGCACCAGTTTCTGTCTCTCTCTCATGATCTCAGAATCAATTAAACAGCAACAAGAGTTCAGGCCTCCTGACTGAACGGATTCGAGCCTTTGTCAAGCAAGCTGCATATTGGCTTCATGAATCCCCATAGCATCCAAATTGCTCACAGGAATTTTTTTGAGAAGGTATTCTGAATTACTCCAGTGGCAGAAAGTTTGCGATGCAAAATTGAAGACTCATGTCCATAGATTATTGAGCAACAGAAGCAGCGTTTAAATTCCAGCCCAAATCGCGGGCATTGAAAAAAATAATAATTCACATAAGCACAGCAAAACCAACTCATGCACATGCAAAAATCACACACGGGAACCCGCAAAGTGACAGTGTTTCAAACAGCAAACACTGCGCGATGTTAAAAACAATCACAAAAAAAGGACTTTCCACCAAACACGCTATGCAACAGGAACTTACGTTCTTGCAGAATTTTTGCTTTATTCCCCAGAATCAGCAAATGACAGGGTCAATGAGACAAGATTAAAGAAAAAAAACAGGGTAAGTATGAACAAAGTCACTGCCTTTTATCTAGACAATATGCCATTCGCTTTGTACACAACCTCTTTCTATGATCATCAATGTGTCAAAATGATATGAAGGGCAGGACTGAAGGATTTGTGTGTTGGATGAAGCAGAGTTCAGGGTTCCTTTATGTATGGACAGCAAAAGAATAAATGGAAAAAGACAGAGTATTGGGCACGACAATGGAGCCCTTGTTGCTGATCCCAATATTCCAGCGGACATGGAGAATACTCACAAAAAACATATCCAGAAAGGTCAAAAACAGGAAATCAGAAGCAAAGAGACAGTTGAGAGTAAGGAGACAAAACAATGGAGAATAACGTAGATGTGAAGGGATCAAACGTTATCTGATGGTTAGGACTGAATTACTCATCAATGCACTTGCTGTTTGTATGAGTCCGCCCGCCAGGAACCTCCACTTCAAATGAATTACTGTGCAAATATATGCAATGCACTTCTCTCCAAACATTGGTGTGTAGCCAATTTTCCATTGTATAAATTACTTCTTGGCTGCTTTGTTTTCTCTCTTCCTAGATTGCAGGTGCTGACAGACTCATTCCAACCGTGGCTTAACTGGACATAGCGACTCGTTTTGTTACAACATCATTTCACGTATCAGTTTGACTCAGTTTTCAGTACTCTTGTCAATGAGTCACAAGAGTGTGGGTTTGAGTCCCACACCAGTTTGCTGGGAATGTTGAAGTGATTGAAGGGATATTTGGATTAGATGTTAAATAGTATTTTACTTGAACTGCTACTTCAGGTGGGAGCTATATATATTCCATGCCAGTCATGTGAAAAGGAGCAGGGAGTTCTCTCAGAGTCTTGGCAAACTTTCCTCCCTTTTCCAAATCCATCTTCCTGTCACATTTCTCCTCAATGGGATGTTTACTGGTGCAGATAAGCTGCTGCATTTACCTGTAAGGCAGTCCCTGGACTTCACAAGATGAAGTGCTCAAGGAGTCTTGATGTGACAAGAAAAAATCAATTTGCACTTTTATAGCGCCTTATAATTGAAATGTCTCAAACATTTTACAGTAATTATTTGTCAAATGCCCTGCCTTTTGGAAACAAACCAATTTCCACACAGCCACGACCTACAAACAGCCATTAAATGTACAACTAATTATATCTGGAGGTTTATTGACCAGGACCTTGGGAGAAACTACCTTATTTTTTCTACTTGTGTCATAAGATCTTCAATGTTCACCTGAATAGACAAACGGAACCTTGGACACACGTCTAATTTGAAAGGCAGTATTTCTGACATTGCAGAGCTCCTCAAGTGTCAGCCTGGGCTGTGAGCTTATAGTACTAACATGGGGCTTAAACCCACAATTTTTTGACCTACTACCAACTGAGGCAAGCTGAAACTTTTGACATGCTCCAGATCAAATCAAAGATTACTATTATAATTATATCCACAGAAAATAAATTGCTTTCATTTTGCAAATTAGGGGATACAAATGTATTTACTTTTGTTTCTAATTCACCTGTTTTGCTTCTGAGCAGATGCTGCCAGTTACCCCGCAGCCTCTGACTTCTATGAAGCAATGTTTTTGGGATAAAAGAAAACTGCTCCACTTTGTTCACTCAAAAACGATTAAAATTGTTCATCATAAACTGGCCATGAACCCCAGGAAATTGTCCAAACATCTTTTAAGTTAAACAAACTCAGCCAGGATCATGAATCTTCTCATTTTATAAATTATGAGAAATTGTCAATTAAAGCAACTGAATTAGATTTGTTGCTTTCTTTTAAACAAGACAATGAGCACCAAAAGACTCAGTGTTCAGATCATCTGCCCCTTTTCTCTCCTTCAAAACTAGCAATTTGTCCACACTGAACTCGGATCATCTCGCGGTACCTACACTTCCAAGTGGTAAGTCTGTGCTGAATGTAGTTAGAGAGCTGTAGCACAGAAACAGGCCATTTGGCCCGTCAAGTCTAACTGGTATTTTTTTTCCAGCTGATTCAGTCTGATACCTCTCTCATGCTCTCTCCCCATCAGGTCCATCTCTCCATCTCCAGATCTATCCCTTTGACAGTGCTTTCGGTTATTGTTGTCACCATCATGCCTAGTCTCCTTGCACTGCCATACGAATGGCAAATCCATTCTTGTTCCCCTCCACTGCTGAGAGCTACAAGTGGAGACTAATGCATTTAAACTTACGATCGAGAGGGACTTCCAGTGCTGCACTCAAGTGAACCAGCAACAGAACCAAGGAAACCCAGCTGGACCCGGGGCTGCCCTTCCTTCCCAGCATTTTCAACGAGGTGGACGAGACTCTTGCTGGAAAGCGCCCACTCCTGTGTTCACTGACCAAAAAGGCCTGAAAGACACAAATGTCAATGTGTTATCATTACTGTGTGAATAGAATGCTGCTGAAGGTGTTCACATAACTCAGCAGTTGTTACAATGTGCTTCGAGATGCTTTCTTGTGCAAAGGGTGCTATGTAACCACAGTGGTGGTTTGGTAAGAATGTATGTGGTGTGCAGGTTATTTTAAGTCACGGGTTAAGATTTTTTCACTCCCTGAACACTTGCATAAACACACGTGGGCAGATACAGAGACACTCACGCACCCTCACACACATACAGAATGGAGCTGTGTTTAGTGATTTGAAGAATAAGCAGTAGTACTGTGCGGCTGTGCACCGAGATGAATGGGGGGATTAAATGACTGGAACATTGCTGATCTCATTGAAAACGGGTCAGTGACAATAGGATTCACCTCTCAGAATGCATTTCAGAATGCATTTCCACATCTATGTATTCCAGCTCCCCAGCTCTTCCCGACACAAACTGCAGACTATCCTGATCTCTGCAGCCTGTATCCTCCGCGAGCCTACTGCTCCCATCTTCACTGGGCTTCACTAGCTCCCATCCCCTAGTGATTCAAATTTAAGATCCTCGTTCTCACCTTTAAATCCCTCCAAGGTCTCGCCCCACCCTTCCTCTGCGACCTCCTTCAACCCTACAAACCCAACGCTTCGTTCGTTCAGCGAGCGCCAGCCTGCTTCATATCCTCTGCTCTATCTGCCTCACCATCAGTGAGCAGGCTTTCAGGCATTCTGCCCCATTCTCTGGAACTTCATCCCTTCGGCTTGCACTCTCCTTCACCTTGTTCAAGGTCCGTCTCAGAGATGTACCTCTGTGACCTTGCTTTCGGTCATCTTTACCCTTCCTCCGCAACTTTGCTCCCACCCCCAACTCGGGTGCCCACACTGCATCATCAATGAGTTTTAGGACATCTTCCCAACATGAAGGACACTGTATAAATGTATACTGTATTGCACTGCATCCTATGCCCAGTTTCTGAACAATATCTGCAAATTCCTGCAAACTCATCCGCTCCAGCAAAAATAAGGAGCCAAGCCTCACGATTCACGTTGAAACCCAGCACCTTGAGGAGGTGTTTCAGCCAGACGTGGACTGGCATATCCTCTGTATAAATACAGCACCGCAAATAAATTCAAGCCTGCGTTCAGAAATGATGCATTGCCCCGCTCTTCAATACGTGAAATAAGCACTGGAACTCTGCATGAGAACTCTGTTCATCTGAGCTCCCTCCATGGCTTCAGCAAGCAAGAGCAGACTGCTACAGGCAGCACAAATACTGTATTGCTCTTCTGCTGGAAGCAGTATGACACTGCTACCAGCTGTTCAGTCAGTTCACAAGAGAATAAGCAAAATTACCAAATTAAAGGTCAAACAACAACAAGGGTCCTTCAAATACCAAACTCAGTCTAGTGGTTGGTTCATTCCTTACTAAAAATTTACATTGCACTGCGCAACTCCACTGGATATTCTAAAGTTTGATTCCCCCATCATTCGGGGTTCCTCTTCTGGTTGTGTGTTTTTACTGATCATACACTGCTTAGTCACAGCTGTCACTCTGTGGCACTGCAGTTATGAAAGACACAGGCAAAAGAGGCAATTTTCTCTAAGGAATTGGACCCACTACAGTTTTGATGCAAAAATAAACCAACACTAAGCCTTGAATTTGATGAAGCAGTTTAACACATCCTTGAAATATCTCAAACTATTAACAGGATTTACTGTGAAATGCAGTGTGTTTGCAGGTGAATGTGGCACCCAGTTCACGCCTAGCAATGTCATACAAACAGCCATTTAAGTGAATGATTGATTTTATCTGAAGAATTATTCGCCAGGACAATTCTCTTTAGAATCATGTCATGGGGTCTTTAACATCCCCCTTACAGACAGATGGGACCTTGGTTTAATGTCTCAACTTAAAGAAGCCACTTCCAATAATGCAGCACTCCCTCCAGCACTATACTGGAATGCCACCCTGGTCTATGAACCCACCCCATTCTGAGTCAGAGGCAAGAGTGCTACCAATTGAAGAGTTAAACTGCTTATTAAACGTTGCTTGTTTCATCCTTCAACTTCCTACAACAATCATTGTTAAAACTTAATTGTTAAAGCTACAGCGCACAGTTTTCCAAAATAATTTTCATACTGTACATTTACATATTTTTGAATTTTTTTCCATCCGTTTCTCAGAATACAATACAATACAAATTTACATGTGTACAGCATCTTACGCGTCAGGTGGATGTCCCAAACTACTTCAGTCCTGACTGGGCACCAAAGTTGGGAGTGGGAAACAAGGAGGGTGAGGAGGGGAAAGATGAACAAAAACAAAGTCAAAGAGGAAGGTATTGAGACAGACCTTGAAAGAGGTGAGGGAGGCAGCACACTGAACTTTTTGCTCAAAAATGTTTAAACAGATTTGAAATCTCTTCAAAGTTGAAGAGGAGGAAAAAGTCAATCCCTGTACAATCTTTGTTTTCATCTCCTGACTCTGCTCCACAGTAATACAATAATTTACGATGCAAACATAAGCCTACACTCTCGCAGGATTCTATTTAGAATAATTACTCTGAAGCCTCTGCATTTGTAGCCCTTCAGTTTTCGTGAGGAATCCATTTGACCTAAGGCGATTTTGTAACAGGAATACACGTAGAGGATTAGTGCAGAAGGACTGATGTCTACTTTAAATTAATCTGTTTGATGTTGATTTTCCAATCCACATCTCCTAACATGCACAGCCTGATGAGTGTAATCTTTACATCTTGTGCATGCCGGAGACGCAAGCTGGCAAATTCAAAGGCAAAAATAGCCAGAATCTTTTCTTCACTAAAGTGCTGCTATTGTCATTTATAAAAGATGGGAAGCGTTCTTCTGATGGCTGCTTTGAGCTCCCTGTACCACACACTGTGTGACTCTCATTACTGTACATTGTTTACCAGCCACTGAAAGCTCCACAGAGTTGGAGAGCCTCCGACCACTGAAACATGCTTCAGGCAGATAAAAGGTACCTTTTCTTCTTCATTATGTGTGGACTCATTCAAGGGAATTAGTAGGAGTCAGACATTAAGATTATAGAAAGTCTTTCCATACTAAAGAATAGTCCATTTATTCCTGTAATCTGCAGTTATGAATCCACATAAAAGAGGCACGATGTGTACAAAGAACTGTTTGGCAAATATGCAAAGCACAATGTTAAACCGTGTTGAGACACATTTTTACGTCACTTCCATGAAATGTCATCATGATCAAAACAAAGAGGAACTCTCCCCGCTTCCTACAAACAACTCAAAAGTTGGCCGAGAACTGTTTCACATACTGCCTTCATAACAACAAGGGAGATTCATCAGCACAGCCATGCCTAATAATAATAATAATAATCCTTGCATTTGATATAGCGCTTTTCACGTCGGGAGGACGTCCCAAAGCGCTTCACAGAACACACTGTAAAGTGAATTGACTGTATATTTGTGGGCGAACGCGGCAGCCAATTACGCACAGCAATGTTTCACAAACAGTCGTAGATTGAAAAAGACCAACTTTTATTATTGTTTTTGGTTTTGGAGGGATTATTATTTGGCGTGTGGAGTAAGGAAACTTGCCCAAGGTTTCGCCCTGCCTGGAATTGAACTCAGGTCTCTCGCTTGCAAAGCGAGTGCTCTAACCACTGAGCTACAGGTCTCCTACTAAGATGTGAATATTCCTAGGCAAATATGTCAACACTACATTGTAGTTTCAAGTAGCCAGATGTTAAAGCCTCAGGCACTGAGAGACTCCAGCATTTCTCCTGGAGTTCAAAGATTCCAAAGTTATATAGGTAAATGACACTATAAGGATTGCTCTCTCAATGAGCCAGCACAGACAGGATGGGCCAAATGACCTTCCGTGTTGTAAATGTTGGAGGCTCAGTCTGCGTACTGGAACCATGATTCAGCCGGTCAACAGGAATGGGTGTGAGGAAACAGGTAGCTGTACCCTTAGAAATGGCAACATTGGAAAGACATCTTACAGCAGTTGCAAAACTCGTGTTTAGAGTTGAATTTTATGAAAAATAATTCCACCAGTACAATTATTCTGGCTCGGTGCATCCTGAAACCAAACTGGAATGCAGACAAGACTGTGTTCTCCCTCTTCTTACTTTCCAATTTACTCCTCATCACAAGAGCTGAAAATCAGTTCCTTGTAACTTCACTGGTGCCAAGGTTCATCAACAGCAGAAAGATGGCTACAGTTGATATGAGACATGCCATCCTACACTAATGCGGATCCTACGGCAGTTGAACATTTCCACAATTAGAAGAAATGTTTGCTGTAATCAACATAGCTTACATTGCTCAGTCTCCATCATTCATAGGCTGCAGTGAAATGAACTCTGTTGGGCAAAGAGCAAATTTCACTCATTTCATACACAATTTAATTCATCGGTCACAGGTAGGTTATTAATAACAATGGTCATCCTTGCAATTTGGTATCATGATTTTCATGTCAGGAGAATGTCTCAAAGCACTTCACGCCACTAGTGACTGAGCCAGGGTGATCCCACAAGTGACTGAGACAGGCTAACATCACCAGTGACTGAACCAGACTGACTGCACCAGTGACTGAACCAGACTGAGTGCACCAGTGCCTGAACCAGACTGACTGCACCAGTGACTGAACCAGACTGACATCGCCACCCATCCAGGAATCCTGGATGATTCATTTTGCGCATGGCTTGGTAGCGCGACACAAAACCAACAGAACTTCACGTGATACCCATAAAAAGGAGAAATCCACACAGCAGACATTTATTCAGCACCTATTTCAATACCAGAAAGCACCAAGTGGGAAGCACACACAGGGGTACACTGCATGACTGAGAAGCTTCCCAGACATGGAGGTTGTCTCACGGATGCACGCAGGATAGTTTCTGGGCTGTCAACTCCCAAACTATTCACTCAGTCACAAGGGACCCATTGGACAGATGTTAGAGCAGAATGTGGCACATGGTACTTTTTACCCTCATCGACTTTCATCCCCATCACCAATAAAATCAACCACTGCGAGTGGGCTGTGGAAATGCCCATCAAGAAACTATTGAATGAAATACAAGTGTGGCGAACTCAGTTTCTGAGTGCACATCAAAAAATGCCATTAGCTGTAACTGGAGAAAACCTTTGGGATGAATTTCCTGGTCCTTCTTACTGAAAACAAATACTTTCCTCAATTGATGCTGACAAGCCCTGTGTGGAAACAGTTGTGGTTGCTTTGTGTAAATATTGAAAACTGATACAGCCAGAAGCTGGATGTACACTGCACAGTTAGCTTATGGGGTAAAGAGCTCATTTGTCAAAGCTGTGCATTATATATATATATGTTACAACGGTAACATGTTTCAGTAAACAACAACAACAAATTACATTTGTATTCAGCCTTTCACGTTGGGAGGACATCCCAAGGCGTTGGACATTCAGGGATTTTGGACCCGAGCTGGTGGTTGGGATCAGGTGGGAGTGGAGGGCATGGAGTGTAGGTGTAGGAGGCTGAAGGCGCGGCTGAAGGCGCGGTCGAACAGGAGGGTCTTAAGACATGCCTTGAAGGAGGCAAGGGAGAGAGAAAGGCAAAGGGATGTGGGATAAAATTCCAACGGATGGAGAGCAGAGAAGCTAAAGGCCTGAACTCCGTTAGTGGGGCAGGCTGGGCAGGGGACGTGAAACCTGCTGAGCGGAGGGAGCAGACAGTTTCATATGGTGTTAGCATGTCACAGAGGTTGGAAGGAGCAAGGCCATGATGGCCCTTGAAGGCAAAAATTTTGAACTCTAACCTCTGGGGGATGGGGAGCAAGGGGAGCCAAGTGAGGGTGATGGGGTTGCGGAGCCTGGTGCAGGAGTGCACATGAGCTGCAGAGTTCTGAATGATGTGCAGCTTGTGGAGCGATGAGTTGGGAAGGCTGACAAGCAAAGAGGTGGTGTAGTCAAGCTTAGATGTGATAAATGAGTGGATGAGAGTTTCGGTGGCCTGAGGGGTGAGGCAGTGGCGGAGCCGGGTGGTGTTGTGGTGGTGGGGAAAGGCTGAGCGGGTCTTGGCACAGATGTGGTGTAGAATGGACAGTTGAAGGTCAAACAAGATGCCAAGGTTCCAGACCAATTTAAATTGTTGACATTGACATAACAGATCCAATGCTTCTCTTTCTTCAGTAAATACATTTTTCAAGTGAAATTCTTCATCAGTTGAATAAACTGCCACATGAAGTTTTATGGTGAATAAAATAATGATTTTCATAATGTGTTATTTTTTAGTTGATAATGTTAACAAGTGTCAAGGCAAGGTTGTCAATATGATGAAATGATCACTTAGTCATTTCATGAAATCCCTGACTCCTAATTTCAATGATTTCATGAAATCCCTAAGTATTTTCGAGATTTCATGTAGTTCCCGAGTGAAATAGTAATTCCATGAAATCACTGAAAATTTTAGGGCTTTCGCAAAATCCCCAGTTTCATAACTTTACCGAAAATTTCAGGGATTTCGTGTTGCACAGGGGTAAAAATTTCTCCCTCAACCATACGTTATTTATGAATTAAAAGGTCCAACAAACAACCTGCAAACATGATCTTGATCATGTTACTTTGTCAACAATTAGTTGGGAGTTTAAAGAAGACTTTCTTATACCCCGTGGTGAAGTATCCAGCTTCCTGCCCCGATCATTTTGAAACCTACTTGTCCTCTCCTTCCCCTCTTCCCTTCTCCTCATAACCCCAGCTCATACCAGCACCTCACCCATGTATGATTCTTCATGATAGTCGAGACTGATGTTGCCAATACTCACCCACCATCCACACACTTTCTGGTGATGTCACTGAAAGCAAAAGATTCAGAAGGCACGGTTCATTTTCCCCTCCAAGGTTCACAATCCTGAGGCTAATTGCAGCAGCCGCATTGCTGCTCTGACTTAGATGCGTGACCTCAGTAGACACAAATTCAAACCTGGGATCTACTCAGTCTGTGTGACTCAGACAAAGCAGTGCTTACAAACTGAGCCACTGAGGAAATTTCTCTCTCTCTCTCTCTCTCTGCAGTTTACCAATCAAGTTGCCACGTAGGAGTCTACTGCCATCCAAAGAGATCTGGAGAAATGAGGAGAAGATCTTGGTTTGGTGAATGGAATTTAATGGAAATTAAGGCAACATAATGGTCACTAGTCATAAAACGTGGTTACACAATGTCCACTGACAACATAGAAATGGGAAAGGATTTTATTCCTATTACTGTCGTGACTATTTATCAAAAGCAGCCAGTCATCTGGAAGCTGTTTACAAGACTAATCAAACCCTGGGAATCATCTCAAGGGCATTCAATTGTAAATTGAAATGGATTATTTAATCCAGTTCAATTACTGATATGGCCACATTAGAGTACCGTGTGCAGTTTTAGCATCATTCCTTCACAAGCACATTGATGCACTGAGCTCAGTTGATAAGTCTCCATGTTACCAGGGTAGATTGACAGGACTGACCCTGCATTACTGTACGAGGGTTATTTAAAGGGATGGGATGGATGTGTTAACTGATAAGTCACAGGGATAATATTAATGATCAGACTATTTTCCATCCACTGATCAAGAGCTAGTTAATTTTTTGTTGGGTAAGGGTTATCAGGGAATATGGAGCAAAAGCAGGTAAATGGAATTGAGCTACAGATCTGCCAGAATCTAATGGAACGGAGGAACAGGTTAAAGAGGCTGAATGGCCTACTCCTGTACTTATGTTCCTAAGAGAACAAGCTGGAAGCAAGATGGAGAAGAAATGATATTGTGCACTCACTAGGGTTAAAAGACAGACGGATATTCAGATGTGTCACGAGATGTGGTGGTGTAGGGGGTGGGTTTGAGATGGACAAATATTCTCATGTTGAACTGGATCTCAAGTTGAACCTGGGTGTTATGATAACCTCCGTATGGAGATTCAACTCTGGGGGCAAGCTCTCTGATAAGATTCTGCCTACAAAATACACAAATGCATAGGCTGTGCTCCAATGATATACTCTTTGTTGATAGACAGGGTCAAGTTAATGACAATCCATAAAAACTGTATGGATGTCATTTAAAACGACAGGAATCTACCTCTGAATGATTTGCCCGAAAACAGAAACACTAAGAAGAAGAGTTTTGCTGAAATCAATGTCTCCGTCTGCTAGACAGGAGTTTCATCACTGATCCAGTGAGAAAGTCACTGCACTTCTCCTGCCCAGTAGTGCAGCCAGAATATACATTGTTCATTTTAATATCTAATTAACTTAATCAGTTTCTACACAGAAACACTTGGGGTGGTCTAGATACCAAATATTTTATATGTTTATATGGCACTGACTGGAGGGAAAGGGTGTGGTGCGGGGAGGAGAGCACATACTATCGTACCCGAGATTGAGAAAGAGACTGTAGGAATTTGACTGGGTAAATAAGGAGAAGCTATTTCCACTGGAGTCAATAACTGGGGGACATAATTATAAGATAGTCACATGAGCCTAAGAAGAGCTTAGGCTTTTTTTTCACTCTGCCAAGTAAGATGGTAGAGGCAGTCCATTTTGGGATTCAAGAGGGAAATAGACAGGTATATGAAGGGTAGAGGCTTTAAGAAGTTTGGGCATAAGTCAGGGATTGATTGAACATCTTGCTCTGAGAGCCAGTGAATGACCTCCTTCTGTACTGTACATGTCTGTTTCTCTTCTATGAACACAGGTAATGGATTGAATTTGTTTCACTGCAACACCACCACAATGGAGATTTGTAAATTGGAAAAGGAAACATTACCTGATCTCTCTGACTGAGTCTTTTTCCAATTGTCATTAATTTGGAAGAAAGAGATAAAGTGCAGTTCTTTAACTTAACTCGATTAGCAACTTAAGATAGTTTAAAAATTAATGTATACATTGTTTTCACTATATACAGAACAATTTCAACTAATTCTACCTGAACTGAAGCGTCCTGGCGACCCGTGTGTTCATGGATTTGGTTCAAATCATTTTCCAGAACGTAAGACAGACAGTGCTACATTCACCAACCCAACAGCGAGCATTGTACAGCAAAAATGAGAATTGATCGAGATTGCGAGAGGAGAGAACTTGATTTATGGGGGAGCACTCATCTGAATATAACAGTTTGCATCATAGCTAGACTCGTCTGTGAATTTTTATAGTTCACTGAACACCACTGCGTGTTTGTAACGTGGAACAAAAACATGGATTCAGATCAACTCCCAACTCCTCTGTAAACTTTCAATCACTGGGTCCAAAATCCCCGGCAGATGCCTGTATGGCAGATGTATATTTTGTCTTTAAATCTGCTATCACTCTGCTGCGAACATTCAAAACCGAGGAGTGCAGGATAAGAGCATGGCGCAGTACAATTAACATGATAATTTGTTTACTAGAAAAGACAGATGAATAAAGTACATTCACTCAGTGGTTAACAGGCTTCATCAGCTGGTGGTGGTAAGTAAAAGCAAGTGCTGCCATTTCAAAATCAGTCATGAAGCTCATCGATTCCCCACGTTCATTATTTCCCTCATAGACTCTGCTCTTCAACATGTTTTTCCTGTGAGGCTTAGAGAAACTCTCAACATTGGAGCTTTGGATAGGACACACTTGTGTCTTTTCAGACTAATTTGAAAAGCCTCTTTCCCTTTGCAAGTGCAAAAGAAGTTTCAAAACTCATTAAATTACATCAGTTAAACCTCATCAAAGAGGTAATATTTTTCTCATTAACTACCACCATGCTTCAGTTGATGTGACAATTTACACAGTAAATTCAACAATGTTGCAGGATGCAATGTAACAAAGACTGCACAGGTTCAAGACACTACTTTGCTTATCACAAAAGCATGAGGCACGTTTGGATTTAGAAGGCCTTTCAGCTGTACCTTCCTCCCATAACGGCATCAAGCTGTTTCTTAATTGAGTCCCATGCCCTAACGACAAGCACACTTCTTATTATCTTGTGCCAGCTGTTGAATTATTCTGTGTGAAATTATGTCCAGCCAAGAGATTCTGCCTTCATTAATAGTTAATTAATAAAACTTACCTTTTTATATAGTGCCTTTCACATCAGGAGGACATCTCAAAACCATTCACAGGATATACTGTAAAGAGTAATGATTGTATTTTGGAGGTAAGCACTTATTATTCCCCATTTTGCAAGTATGATCAATTTCGGATGACTTTTCATATTAGCAGCTGAAGTTGAGCTGGCTTATTAAAATTCACCGGCTATTATTAGGATTAATAATAATAATATTTAATGAGCAATGATTAGATCATACAATTAGATATATGATAAAATTAGGTTAGACAAGCTTGGTCTCCAAACAGTTTTGAATTTTTATATGGTATTAAAAAAATAAACCCAGATCAATACATTAGCATGTACCAGGACAGAATAAGAGGCTGAGGTTTTGACCTGTAATGGGCAATTTCAGGACAGATCACAGGAAGTATTTCTTCACCCAGACAGCAAACAACCAAAGATTTGAGGCTGACACTCCATGCAGTGCCGGGAGTGTATTTCATTGTTGGAGCTGCCGTCTTTCTGATCAAACATTAAACCAAGTTCCTGTCTGCCTGTTCAGGTGGACAGTTTGACAGAAAGAGAAGTGAGTTTTTCCCAGTGTTGTGACGAACCATCCACTGACAAAATTGGTCATTTGTTTCATGGTTATTTTGGGGACATTTGAGTTGCTCTCTTCTGCACTGCCTCTAACAAAGCATTTTAAACACTGCCGTATTTCATCCATAAATATACAGTCAATTCATTTTATAGTATATTCTGTGAAGCGCTTTGAGACGACTCGAAGACATGATAAGGCGCCATATCAAATGCAAGGTTATTATTATTGTTATTGAAGCCCTGCACCAATAATGTATTGAAATGATAATGCAGTTTGGTACAGCAATACGGACAGATTATTCTGACAGTCATTAAAAACCAGAATACACCTTCTGCAACATCCTATGATGTGTGTTCCCTTTTTGACAAATAACAATCAAACCTGCAGGCTTGCACTGTTCATTGCTAAGTGTCCTGTGTCTGCTGTTTTCAAGGCAATGGAAAGCTTATTAAAAGCATCATTCTGCTTTTTAATAGCTTTGAAAAATCAAGTGTAGAGAAAAATAAAATCAATTAAATCTCATTATCACTCCATCCCATTTCCACTAAGTGCAGGCTCATACAACATGAACTAATGAAGCAGAATTTTGTACAGTGGAGACATGGGTCAGTTCATTAGGTTTTCAAAGTTAAAGTGATGTACCACGTTCCACTCAAGGCCACAGTGACAGACAGACAGACAGGGCTATTAATACAACATCAGTGGACATACACTGCAGCTCATGGGGAAGAGCAAAGGCTGGCATCTGAAGCAGTTAACTCTACTACCTTCCAGGGACAGCCCATACTTTCAAACATTGCTCTTTCCTTGGAGAGTAATTAACACTGCACCAGGTGGGCTGGAAAGGTGGAAGTAGCCAGGGCAATGGACTCATGTGATCTTGTGACTTCCACCATCCAAGAGAACACTACCACTTCCAAGTTCCTCTCCAAGTTACTCACCATCCTGACATGGACAGGCATCGCCATTCCCTCGGCTTGTTGGGTCAAAATCATGAAACTCCCAAACCATCCCTATCACAACAAAGGGTAGCATGTCACAAGAGCTGCAGGGATTTAAGAGAAGGCCTCACCACCTACTCAGGGCAACCAGGGATGGGCAATCACTACTAGCTCTGTCAGCACTGCCCACATAATAATAATCAAGTATGTATTTGATACAGTGTCTGATCACTACATCATTATATCTGGGGGATTGCCGGCCAGGTCATGGGGAGAAACATCCAATCCTTTTCTGAGTAAAAAAAATTCAAGTAGGGCCATGGAATCTTTTGACGTCTACCTGAACAGACAGATTGGGATCTCGGTTATCTTTAGGGGGTGCTCTTCCGACAATGCAATGCTCCTAAAGCACTGCATCAGGCTGTCAGTCCCAACTATGAGCTTGAAGTCCTGATGTGGTGCTTGACCTCACAATCATCTGATTGAGAGGCGAGAGTGTTAACAACTGAGCCAGGCTGACACCTC